TCCAGTTTCTACCCTTCCCGAACTAGGCTGGTATTACGGAGTTAGAGTTTGGCTGGACTAACGAGTCTATGCATAGTCCAATCAAAATCGCTCAACGAAATCGAAATCCGATTCGTAAACTGTCATGCAGATTTCGGTCGATTGCAGGATTTGCAAAGCATGTGCACCGCCAACTCGTTGTCAACAGATATTTTCAAACTCTTTTCGTGTTTTTAATCAAGGTGCTCACGTGATTTGATGCATTTCGCGATGAAAGACCCGTTTTATCACAATATAGAGCTTGATTATCGAGCAGACTTGGGACCGCCATTTTGTTTGAAGCAAATGCAAGTGATACGAGAGGTGGAATCCCATTGGTCCATAGGAGAGGCTTAGAAGGGACATAACTGGTAATAGCCACTGGTGGCGCTACGATCGAGCCCAGAATTCAGTTAACTCTCTTGCCTCGGGAAGATGGTGCATAGAGACATAAGAGGGATACAGCTCCTTGGGCACCAACGCCCGTCTAGGACGACAATGTAACTATTGTGGCACGGACACAGGGGTTTAAATCACAGGCCCCTGAAGCAGGATAGGGATATTATTGACTCGGACCCATATATATATAAATAGACAAGGTACGTCACTCACCGTCTTAGCCGAAGTTGAAATCGGCTGTACCGTATACATTAATGTAAATGTACGCATGTCATGTTCACAATACCTCCCCACCTCCCTCCACATACATGCCACAAACCTTCATTTGTGCAATGTGTTACCCACATCGGGTGATTTTATCGAAATATTGCCTCAATCGCGGCTGTCGGTTACGGAAGTAAACTAAAGATATCCGCGCTCATTGGCGTGGAGCGCTCTGATTGGTCCGAGCTCCAACCATAACGAACGCACGTGGTGATATTTGCATGGCCTATACACTCTTCAAAAAAAGAAACGCACAGGTAGATTTTTAGTAAATGTATTGTACCTAATAAAGTCGATATATTTAATTCAACATCATAGATACAAATATGAAATTTTGGAGCTCGATAGTCATATGTTGTCGTTGTACAGAGTCATTGAAAACTTCATTGTCATGACGCATGAGGCAATAAGGTTGCGCTGAACTCAGTATCTCGTGTGACCGCCCCGGGCAGCAATCCTCGGCACTGACTGGATAAGTGTACGAATTCTGTATTGCAGAATTCTGCGCGATTCTGCTTGTAACGCGTTGGTCAGTTGTTGGAGTGTCTGCGGCGTGTTCTGACGTTGACGTACACGTCGATCAAGTTCATTCCAGAGGAATTCGATTGGGTTGAGATCTGGAGATATCGACGGCCAGGGCAGATCGTTGATGTTGGCATTATAAAGGTAGTCTACCGTGACATGAGCTGTGTGCGGTGGAGCGTTGCCCTGTTGAAACAGCTCCCTCTGGCGGTCAATGATTGGAAAAAGGTGAGGTTGAAGAATTTGATTCACGTAGCGATTTGCGGTCAAATTTCCCTGAACCACAACCAAGTCAGATCTCGTGGTGTAGGATATGGCCCCCAACACCATGACACTACCGCCACCGAAACTGTCGAATTCACGTACTCAATGTTGGGCAAAACGCTCATTTCGACGACCATAAACACGTTGTCTTCCATCTCGCCAGTGAAGAAGGAAACGTCTTTCATCGCTAAACCACACTCGTCTCCAGTTTCTCAAATTCCAAGGCTGTAAGGTATGGCACCAACGCAAGCGTCGCTGTCGATGGATCTGTTGCAAAACAGGGACGATAACTGGTCTTCTGGGTCGGATTCGCGAAGATGGTTCCTGACAGTCTGTTCCGATATTCTCCTCAAACCAGGAATGCGTCCTGCAGTCTCCGTAGCTGTGGCATTGCGATGACGTAGGTGGAACAGTCGAATGTGGCGATCCTGTGCACGGGTGGTAACTCTTGGTCGGCCGGTTCTCGGACGGTCTGTGGTGGAATTGAACTGTGTGTATCGGTCCGAAAGGCGGCAAATGGTGTTGTGGTGGACGTTGAAGTGGCGTGCAACAGAAGACTGCGATTCCCCTCCTTGGATACGTCCTATGGCGATGTTCCGAACGGCAGCGCCGAGTTTCGGCATTTTCGAACTTGAAAAATGTTAATATTGAATGACAAATTATTGGCTTATGCTTGCCTATTTATATACCACGAGTTACGAATGCCATAACTTTCCTCTATGACATTTAGGAACAAGTGTGAAAACAATGCCGTGTAAGATGCAACGTTTCTTGAATATCAGGCCGGCAAAATTTTCAAATGACATATATCCAAATTAAATACCGGATGTCAGGTTCAATGAACTACATACTACCTGTGCGTTCCCTTTTTCGAAGAGTGTATATAGATAGTTTCTTTTTCAGAACATGAAATCTTTCAAAGTCGCGTGTCATTGTGAATTGTATGCCCTACTGGATAAAAGAGAAAGAAAACGCTTACTCAAGTTGGGGTTATTGCCACGGCTGATTCTGTTCTTGTTATCTGATAATGTATTCTGAGGCATGCGACATAATTCTCTTTTATGACGTTGCAATTATCCTAATAGATGTAAGTTCCTTCCGGACGAGTTGTCTCAAAATCCAAAACACCCTGAAACAACATATCTTACAACACATCTTCCGATGCATATGACAGACGAAATATGATATATAACTTCACACAATCGCGTAAGCAAACCATTATTTTTGTATTTACGTTAATGAAATAAATAATTTGTCTTCATACTTCCTGTTGTCATTGAGCATGTGATGCTCCGGAATTGTGATGGATGAATCTGCGTGGGCCCGGAAGAGAATAATCAGCCGATTATCGATTACATGCCGATATTGAAATTTAATTGGGTGATGGACCAGACAATATCAGTGACACTATAACGCATTTACCGATTCACCACTTTTTTCAAATCCGTGGTGCTGATAAACCGACAATAATTGTCAGGGGATAAATCAGATTCTTGCACACCAAAGGGACCCAAATCTGCAATCTTCGAGGCTCTCCAGAATATTAGCCCAACCTTGCAACCCTTTAAGGTCAAAAATTGTCAAGGCATAAAACTGCAAACATTTTAAGGCAAATGGCAAAACACACATGGCAACCAATGTCGTTTTATTTGATTCAATTCAGAGACAAACTTGTTAACACACACTTGTGTTGAAGACAAAATACCATCATGAATCACAATTTGGAAGAACCTATGAAACATGAAATCTTGGAAATATCGATGGATGTTAGCTACCACTGTCGAAATACATAAAAACAAAACATAATACCTCACATGCTGAAAATATGGCTGTTCCTAATTTCGATATGTGTACAATATGACGCATCCAATTAAAAGAATACACAAGAACAATGAACCAATTAAGATGTTCAGTTATAAATGATGAGGATGAAAAGGTTCTGGAAAACAACATACTAAAAACCCTTGTGTTTTATGAACAATACAAAGTGTTAGCGATTTGTCTTTAGATCCATATTTACAGAAAACGATGTCCTTTCATATTTCAGAAGGGGGCACGGGTGGCCCAGTCGTCTAAGGCGCCGCGATTCGCTGTGCAGAGTTGCGTCCCTTGGGCAAGCCAGAAACCTATGATAGTGGGTTCGAATCCCGGTTCGCCCTGATTATGTTTCTAGGTTTGTCAGCACCATGCCCGTGCTCGTGGGTTTCACCGAAGTGGTAAACGTCTTAGACCTGCATCACTTCGGGCTTTCCTCCCACATCAAGCTGACACGCCGTGATATAACTGGAATACTGTTAAAAGCGGCGTTAAAACCAACTCACTCACTCATATTTCAGAAAGCAGTCATGAGTTTCGCGATGCGATTCGGAAGGATTGACAATAGAGTGAATTCACTGGATATCTTGGATAATACGTTGTCTATAGCTATGTACAAACAATATGTTCATTTTGTTGTTTCCTTTCAGTGGCTTCATTTACATCCATTTTGTCATGTTAATGCCAGTAATACTATGTAGTGTGTCTCAAACCCCACCCGTGTCTCTGCAACCGTCGAGGAGTTCATGCAGACAGAAGACCACAAAAGGGTGGGATATTCCAGAATAAGGGAGTTGGTAACATGCTTATATATATATGCTTATAACGAACTACGGTTATAACGAACAAAAATTAGTTGTCGTTGTTGTTCGTTATAACCGCAGTTTACTGTAGTTTTAACGCCGCTTTGAACAGTATTCCAGTAATATCACAGTATATTATAAGACACTAAAGAACACCGATTGTTTTGTAAGGGACGACCTATCTAAACCTTGAGCCAGGATTGCATAAGGAGCAGTGTTACTTCTTTGTGACTGAATGAGTTACCTGCGTTTAACGCTGCTTTTATTTGTTTCTTTGTTGTTGTTTTTTGTTGCTGTTTAACGTCATACTCAGCAATATTCGAGCTAAATGACGGCGGCCTGTAAATAATCGAGCGCGACCAGGCAATCCAGTGACTGACATCATGAGTATCGATCTACGCGTATGGGATACGATGACATGCATCAACCAAGTCATAGAGCCTGACCACCCGCCTCTTACTTCGTTTTGAACATTATTCCCGTTATATCACAGCTTGTCAGCTTAATGTGGGAGGGAAGCCCTAAGTGATGCAGGTCTCAGACCTTTATCACTTCGGTGAATCCAGACACGGGTATGGTGCTGCCAAACCTGAAACATAATCAGGGCAAAACGGAATACGAACCAACGATCATAGGTTACTGGCGTGCCCAAGGGACGCAACTCTGCACAGCGAATTGCGGCGCCTTAGACGACTGGGCCAGCCGTGCCCCCGGGCGATTTCAGAAGCCTGAATATTTTTTCCCAAAAGATCCTGCTCGGTAGAACGTTTTGCACAGGTCCAGTTATATCATGAATGTATCATAGGTATGAATAACATTTTACACATGGCCTAATATAATTTATATATTGTGAATTCTGGGCCAGGTGGTCTATATTCATGAATACACTTTTTCTTATGTTACTAAGAATGATAATGACAACAACACAGTTTTATTGACATACTACTCATCACAGTGTTGATAATATCAATAGGTTGATTAAAACATTTTTTTACCAGTTGAATCTGATACTAAAATGGCTTCTAAAAAATGAGCAAACTCACTCCAAACAAGCAATTGAGAGACTTGTCGTCCGTGCCAGAGATATGATAACACATACTGCATACAAATATATGACACACAAAATATAATATACATAAATGTAATTTTGTAATAAAAAAAATACCCAACTCTAAATGAAGGATCATTAACACATTATTATAACATTACAACACACGTCCGGTATATGACATACAAAATATAATATATATAAATGTAATATTGTAATAAAAAAATACCCAACTCTAAATGAAGGATCATTAACACATAATTATAACATTCAAACACACGTCCGGTCACCACGTTCCGTACCACATTCGTGAACTGTTGGTCTTCCCCCAATATTTACATGATCTAACGCGGACGTGGTCATTCCGTATCCATGGAGATCGGTACCCATATTTCTTTTGGCGGGCTCGTACACAAATGTGGGACAACTCGTACCCACTCGTACCTAATCAACTGGATGACTCGTACACAAATGTTGGACAACTCGTACCTAATCAACTGGATGACTCGGACACAAATGTGGGACAACTCGTACCTAATCAACTGGATGACTCGTACACAAATGTGGGACAACTCGTACCTAATCAACTGGATGACTCGTACACAAATGTGGGACAACTCGTACCTAATCAACTGGATGACTCGTACACAAATGTGGGACAACTCGTACCTAATCAACTGGATGACTCGGACACAAATGTGGGACAACTCGTACCTAATCAACTGGATGACTCGTACACAAATGTTGGACAACTCGTACCTAATCAACTGGATGACTCGTACACAAATGTTGGACAACTCGTACCCACTTGTACCTAATCAACTGGATGACTCGTACACAAATGTTGGACAACTCGTACCCACTTGTACCTAATCAACTGGATGACTCGTACACAAATGTTGGACAACTCGTACCCACTTGTACCTAATCAACTGGATGACTCGTACACAAATGTTGGACAACTCGTACCCACTTGTACCTAATCAACTGGATGACTCGTACACAAATGTTGGACAACTCGTACCCACTCGTACCTAATCAACTGGATGACTCGTACACAAATGTTGGACAACTCGTACCCACTTGTACCTAATCAACTGGATGACTCGTACACAAATGTTGGACAACTCGTACCTAATCAACTGGATGACTCGTACACAAATGTTGGACAACTCGTACCCACTCGTACCTAATCAACTGGATGACTCGTACACAAATGTTGGACAACTCGTACCTAATCAACTGGATGACTCGTACACAAATGTTGGACAACTCGTACCTAATCAACTGGATGACTCGTACACAAATGTGGGACAACTCGTACCTAATCAACTGGATGACTCGTACACAAATGTGGGACAACTCGTACCCACTCGTGCCTAATCAACTGGATGACTCGTACACAAATGTTGGACAACTCGTACCCACTTGTACCTAATCAACTGGATGACTCGTACACAAATGTTGGACAACTCGTACCCACTCGTACCTAATCAACTGGATGACTCGTACACAAATGTTGGACAACTCGTACCCACTTGTACCTAATCAACTGGATGACTCGTACACAAATGTTGGACAACTCGTACCTAATCAACTGGATGACTCGTACACAAATGTTGGACAACTCGTACCCACTCGTACCTAATCAACTGGATGACTCGTACACAAATGTTGGACAACTCGTACCTAATCAACTGGATGACTCGTACACAAATGTCGGACAACTCGTACCTAATCAACTGGATGACTCGTACACAAATGTTGGACAACTCGTACCTAATCAACTGGATGACTCGTACACAAATGTTGGACAACTCGTACCTAATCAACTGGATGACTCGTACACAAATGTCGGACAACTCGTACCTAATCAACTGGATGACTCGTACACAAATGTGGGACAACTCGTACCCACTCGTACCTAATCAACGGGATGACTCGTACACAAATGTTGGACAACTCGTACCTAATCAACTGGATGACTCGTACACAAATGTTGGACAACTCGTACCTAATCAACTGGATGACTCGTACACAAATGTTGGACAACTCGTACCTAATCAACTGGATGACTCGTACACAAATGTGGGACAACTCGTACCTAATCAACTGGATGACTCGTACACAAATGTCGGACAACTCGTACCTAATCAACTGGATGACTCGTACACAAATGTGGGACAACTCGTACCTAATCAACTGGATGACTCGTACACAAATGTTGGACAACTCGTACCTAATCAACTGGATGACTCGTACCCCCAAAAAGCGAATTTGTACCTTATGAAATTTCACGATTTTAATCATTATTCGATTATATTCCTACCTGTAGCAATGACTGTAGATGATATTGGACACTTAGGGTGCGCGGTATTACCGGTGTATCGGTAAATTGAGGTTCATATTTTTCCTGGATACGTATCACAATATATTTTGGTCATGGTCAGTATATCGGGTGATTTGTAATAGCGACCTTTATCAGGAGTCTCATGTTATACACTTGCCAAATACCTTCGCTGCCCCGAAGCCTGTGTCCAGGGCCCAAGATGGCTGCATGTTTATTTAATGTGTAAACATTGTGTTGTACCACCATCCTTTTGTGTTCTGCTTGTGAATTTCCATCCATACATTGATGTTTCAGATTTTTCTCAATTCAAAATTTAGAATTACACGATATTTCTTGATGCGTATCGCAATACGGCCTTGTGCATTGCAAAATATTGTGATGCACTCTAAACCTTCAATACCCATCCCTATTAGATACCGAATATGTTGTGGTGATCCGGGTGTTATTATGAAACAATCGCTAAAAATCCGGAAAAATTGTTAAATCATTCCAAGCATTAGTAATTCCAATCGCTTCTGGAAAATATCATCTCTATGGTAACACATTGTTTTAACGAATTCAATTATGACAGTGTTTGTTTTGTGTTTCATACAATAGCACATGAGAAGTCCCAATCACCGACTGGGCAAAATTCTTGTTACACCGGCCGACTTCCAAGTGAGTGAGTGAGTGAGTTGGGTTTAACGCCGCTTTTAACAGTATTCCAGTTATATCGTGGCGTGTCAGCTTAATTTTGGAGGAAAGCCCGAAATGATGCAGGTCTAAGACGTTTACCACTTCGGTGAAACCAACGAGCACGGGTATGGTGCTGACAAACCTAGAAACATAATCGGGGCGAACCTGGATTCGAACCCACAATCATAGGTTCCTGGCGTGTCCAGGGGCCGCAACTCTGCACAGCGAATCGCGGCGCGTTAGACGACTGGGCCTACTGTGCGCCCCCTCTCCCCAATAGCTTTAGAGATTGTGACTGCTCGTGTTGCTATTTCCCTTGCAGATACCTGAATGTCCTGAATACGCAGGATAGAATAACAAGCAGTTGTATCTTTAGTGACCTGCCGTGCAAACATAATCAGAATGTGCACCGTGACAAGATTTCCAATCAGGCCCCGGTGCAACGTTCGACTTTTCACATTGAAGGGAGCTGGTTGACCGCCACAAAGCGACCTTCACATTACCACAGGTTTTTTTTCGCGAACACCTCGTATGATTCATAAATAAACACATTCTATTGATGTGGTCGGAGTTGTATATCGGGTTTCGTCTTTTATATTTGCATGTGTTCGTGATGGGTGCAACAGGTGGGGTAGGATAAGCTCACCTTCTTACAAACACTTGTATCATCGTTATTGGATAGTGATTCATAAACACACGCTCGTGATATTGTCGGAATCGTACAATCGACTCCAAATTCTGGTCCACACCCAAACCATATATATCACATATATATATCGCAACTAAGAAACCCTCTGTACATGGTATTATTTACACACAGGTATCACACACTGCAACTGATACAGTAGACGAAATACGACAGAATATACAACCAGTGTGGATTAGAAGCAGTTTCTATTATACTGTTTGATTTTTGCACAATATAGTTCACAATGGTTATGTATTAAGAAAATTAAATAGCATTGAAAGTGTGCTAAATGAGTATTTTTTTTTTTTTTTTTTTTTTGTTATTTAACGCCGCACTCAGTAATATTCCAGCTGTAAATAATCAAGTCTGGACCAGACCATCCAGTGATTAATAACATAAGCATCGATCCGCGCAATTGGGATCGATGACATGCGTCATGTGTTTTGTTTGTTTGTTTATTGTTTAACGCCGCTCTCAGCAATATTCCAGCTATATGACGGCGGTCTTTAAGTAATCGAGTCTGGACCAGACAATCCAGTGATTGACAACATGAGCATCGATCCACGCAATTGGGAGGATCGATGACAGGCATCGACTAAGTCAGCGAGCCTGACCACCCGATCCCGTTAGTCGCCTTTTACGACGAGCATAGTCGCCTTTTACGGCAATCATGCGTTGCTGAAGACCTATTCTACCCCGGATCTTCACGGGTCGCTAAATGAGTATTAACCATACAATATATGATATATTGTAACAAGCAGATTCTGCCATTGCTTACGGAAACCGACCAGAATTATGCACATTGTAAGACAGCAAGCATTAATAATGGAGACCCAGCAGCTGCTAGTTCACTATGGTGGAACGGCTACAGTTGATAATTTTTCATCATGATAACACTCTATTACCCACATGGAAACTAATAAAAGCATCTGTTACTATATATTTCCATAATATAAAATGTATCTTTAAAAGATAAAAAGAACAAACATAACTGACAAACTCCTATCGTCTGTCTTACAGACCCTGATACAAATATATATCAAATACAGCCCATGCAAGTCTATAATGTTTGGCAAGTCTAGATCACTGCAGTATCAGTATCTGAAAATGAAGAGAGTCACTGGGCTCCTTTTTATTATATTTTTATTAAGATAACTGAACAAATGTTTTTTTTATGTACGATATGTTCATTTCAGAGACTAGATTTTAGTCTAAAACTCCTATTAAAATACTGAAGCCGTAACGGATTATGTCATGCACTATTTTGCTACTATTAGAGTGGCAATAGTTGTGTTGTCCCTTCGGTACCTTATCCTTACCCTGTATTCCGCGATTCCGCTGTTGCGGAAGATTTGACACAAGGGCCAACTCGGTGCAGAACTGTACTTAACTTGCAAGAAATCACATGTTTTGGCAGAACCGATACAGAATGTTCTATTTGTCTGCCGCATAACTCATCAGATACGGATCTGAGAGTCGAAAGCTTGTTTTAACATGTAAGCGAATATTTATTTCAATTTGAAGAAAAGTTGACTCTTATAATATCGCTTACCGAACGTGCTTACTGATCGCTAGAATCATTCCAAAAAGCTATTCTACCCGTGGATAGGTGGAACAGGTGCAAAACTATGTAATTCACGAAAACTAAGGTTAAAAGTGTGCACAATTATCAAAATCTGGTTGCAGAATATACGAAAATTAACCGCAGAAGTTTGTATTTTGGGGCTGCAGAATACAGCGGGGACGGACTATTTCAAATGGCTCCTCTGCCTCTGCAACATATATGACCAAGGCCCTGTGACCATCTGGAGGCACATACAGTGTTCTTATACTGCTCACCTAGTATCGATAGTGTCGTATGTACATATTTCCAAATGATACATGGAAGTCCAGGAAACGTTAAAATAAATGATTGTTGCTTAATTGCTTTCCAGGTGTATCCAAAGCCTGCAATAAATCACACATAGTGTAGGTTCACTGTCACAATGTTTAAAACAGAAAATTGTAGGGACATGAAATAAAACAAATATCACAATTTCACACAATGCCACTCTCGAAAACATGTATATGTGTTGTAAAAACCTTTTGCTTTGAAACTCATTTAATATAACCAATAAATAGTGATTTTTAACACAAGATAATGCGTTTCCGTCACGGATTAAATTAATATGCCAGCTGTTTCACGTATTGCATGAACGATAATATCATTAGCATCCTGAAAAGCTGGTTATAATTACGCAATGCAGGGAGCGTGACTGCACACTATTTAGTATCACCAGCAAATGTACATTACACAAGCATATCCAACGTCTGCAAGTTAATTCTACTCCCCTTTCGTACAGTGCAACCCTTTTATCCAGACAGTACTATCCCAACTGAACTTGACCATACTTTTGAATGTCAGGCTTAATGAATTATAGTTATGGAGAATTGTCTTTCATAATGTAAATACATGCACCTAAAAGTAATGGTCCGCTAGGTGGGTATCCAGATTAGCAGAGTGAGGATTTACAGGGGTTAGAAATATCCATAAACTACGTGGTTCAAATAAAAGTAAACAATGCCTCAACATTATTTTGATCACACTGCGTCATAAGACGAATTGTTAGTTTGATTACTTACTGATCCTACGACCCCAAAAATCACATATATGTGGTCAAAGTTCGTCCATAAGCCGAAAAATAAAATTGAATAATTACATGTGTTTGTTATTTTCATTACTTGGATTACAGATCCCCTGACCCACAAATCACATGTGAGAGAGATCCGGGTCAGCTCCAAAGCCAAGCAATATACACGTCCGTATAGTGCCATCCGATAACACATCCTTATCATTCTACCGATATTTAGCTACAAGTATTCTTTGCACATTATTAGGCTATTACCATTGTACCTTCAGTTACTCTTCCTTAATTTCTTTCTTTCATACCTTCCAACAAAATGGTTTTCAATTCTGGCTTCAAATATTCTAATAAAACAGTCATGACGTTTCAGTTCAGTATAACCCTGATTCCATCACCCTCACCCTGCACCACAATAAACTTGAGTTATGTAGGAGACAAGCAGCAGCAGCTTCCATCAGCCTGGGATGTATTCTAAATATACCAGATCATGCTGCTGCACCTGTATGTTTCAATTTGTTTCCATAACAACTCGCTGATGAATAAGCAAACTTATATCAAGTCGAGAGAGCCACCAAAAGTATTAATTAATCAACTAAACATTTATGAAAACAATAACACTGGCTGTAGAATACCGAGTCATTATAAGGTATACAAAATAGATGTCGATGTAAAAAGATTTAGGAAGTCCGGGGCATAAATCTGTCAAGTGTTTTTTGTTGTTGTCTACAATGCTGTTTATAAATTGAAGACCTTGAAAGATTTTGAGTGACACCAAGAATCTGAATGGATGTAGAAACCAGAAGAACAACCTCTTCCCGCATCCCTCCTTCCGTCCCTCCTTCCATCACTCCTTCCATCCCTCCATCCACCTGTCTCTCAGTGATCAGGGGCGGGGTCCTCGGAGGGCTGTGGGTTGTACTCCTGTACAACGGCTCTAGGAGCAAACTTGCCCTGGAGTGCAAGCTGTTTGGGGAAAATAAAACCAGCGTAAGCAACAGAACAGAATAAATACAACTCAAAGGAAGCATTGTGTTTGATATGTGTTTTGTTTGTTTGTTTATTGTTTAACGCCGCTCTCAGCAATATTCCAGCTATATGACGGCGGTCTTAAAGTAATCGAGTCTGGACCAGACAATCCAGTGATTGACAACATGAGCATCGATCCACGCAATTGGGAGGATCGATGACAGGCATCGACTAAGTCAGCGAGCCTGACCACCCGATCCCGTTTGTCGCCTCTTACGACAAGCATGGGTTGCTGAAGACCTATTCTACCCCGGATCTTCACGGGCCGTGTGATCTGTGAATGCAAGGAACAGAACAGAACAGAACAAAACAACTGGGGAAAACATTCATGCAATAAAAATAATAAAAGTAAAGTAACTGCATCAAAGAAACATGAAGATTGTAAGATGAAGACGGGATTAGAACACGAATGGTGGGTTTCATATCAGAGAAATCATGCATGGCACATTCCCAAACAGATAAGCAGCGGTTAAAAAGTTACTGTAAATTAATGCGAAAAATTCGAATGTCCGTTGCTCGTGATGAATTCTGATCAGGGCATATTGGAGTATTTTGTCAAGTTAGGTTCAGTAAAGATGGGTGTAAAGTAAAATAATGACATGCATAAGACATGCTCATAATAAACAATGTAATTGAGTGCTAGATTTAGACAGAGCTTCTCACCACGTTCCAAGTCAAATGCACCTTCCCGAGTCAAGGGCAGATTTCGGTCGACTGCAGGATTTGCAAACGTTTGTTCAGCCAACTGGGCGTCGACAGACATTTCACAAATGTTTTCATGTGTTTAATCCAGGTGCTCAAGTGATTTGATGCACTTGGCGAGGTAAGACCCGTTTTATTACATTAAAGATTTTGATCATCGATCAGGTCGTCTTGACTGTGCGCCGCCATTTTGTTTGAAGCACATGCAATTGAGAGGTGGAATCTGATTGGTCAATAGGAGGGACATAACTCTTAATAGCCACTGGTGGCGCTACGATCGAGCCACGAAATTCCAGCCTAGTTCGGCAAGGGTGAAAACTGGACTTTTAAAGTACTTAACGCCATTGCCCCAGGAAGACTGTTCACTCAAATTGATCCAGCAGTTACAACAGTTGCCAAATGTGTATGGAAACATATGTTTATGGTAATCTTGTCAAATAGTCATATAATTACAAATTACTTGTCATCCACATAGTGAAATTTTCCAGTACAGCACAGATAACACATTTACGTTCAAAGGAATGAGGTAACTCGTGTTACAACTGGAACCTGTACAATCTCAATAGAATATGCGTCATTTGGAATTTCATGCTTTTGATTTCATCAAAGCTAAATCACATGTCAAGCAGTTGATAGCAAATGATGATAGCAAAGATTATTATTTCATCAAACTGCTACTATATCTGATGTCTTGATGTTATCGTTTGCTAAATAAGTTTTGACAGTTCAAAGGTAGGACTGGCAAAGCCATTATAGTGAATAGTGAAAAGGTTTATGACTGACTTGCTATTTCAAAAATGAATAAACGGTTGTTTAGATTGGTTGAAGATTGCAGACAAATGGAAAAGCAGCAACTTCCATCTTACATTCTCACTGTACCAATTACATGAAAGCTGAATATGAAATTTACAAACAAAACAAAATAACTGGCAGAAGAGTATTTGCGTCATGACAGAGAAAACATAACGGTCAGTCATTGTGAGTTCAACTCCATGCGTGGTTGTAGGCAGCTTGGCGCAGTGGTGAGCTGTGACTGGTAGAGCGATGGAGAGCTCAACAAACAGGTCATTGCAATGAGGAGCTTGTATCCTCATAATTCAAAGGGAGACAACTCCCACACAGGACAAACACACAGTGATCTATTGTCTATTTATTGATGGAATGGTTGATGAAAGCAACTGACAAGTCAGAAAGTAGTTGATATTGTGATGATGCTAATATCAATTGTGTAACAAGTCTTGGTGTTTTCGTTGAGCCAACGAACACAGAACCATACAGAAACATTTCAGGTTACATTTCATTGTTTGAGGCTTCGGTTTCATGTTATTTAACGCCACACTCAGCAATATTCCAGCCATATGACGGCGATCTGTTAATAATCCAGTCTGGTCCAGGCAACCCAGTGATTGACATCATGAGCATCGACCAACGCAATTCTAATCGATGACATGCATCAACCAAGTCAGTGAACCTGACCACCTGATCCCGTTAGTCGCCTCTTACGACAAGCATAGTTGCCTTTTACGCTCAAAGTTTTAAACTGGCGTGGTTACATATTGCTCACAATATACTACCCAACCCTTGACAGGGATACTGAGACACACATTTGAGATTTTGCCACAAATGTTGATGAGGGGAGGGGGGGGGGGGGGGGGGGGGGGGGGTAGGGATTTCCATTCAACCAGTGTGGGAGTGTATGAAAGTCATAACTAAGATTATGGATATGTATTTTTTTACATACGGTCTGTCTGCATGAAATATCAGACACAAATACATCGATTCTGGTCATGCACAGATCAACGTTTCTATATACATCACAGGAATTCATTCACTTTTGTATTCATAGTAAACATAACGGTCATGAGCATGACAGACTTTGCTTACATCAAGACATTTCTTTACTAATGACTGACCACTTTGTGATTTAATTACATGTAATTATAGTTCCAAAAATTAAAAGAATTTTATCACTGAAAAAATAATAAATGTTTTTGTTTTTTCTGCACACAACTCATTTTAAAATGCATAATTATGATCAAATTAGCCTGAATCCTGGAAAAAACACTCGACTTGTCATCCTTTTACAAAACACAGAGGACAACAACTTATAAAATTGTATACTTATGTTCATTGTAACTTGAAAGAAAGAGAAGATACTCCAGTCCATGGGAACATTGAACAATTTTCGCGGACTTCCCCAAACAAATAGTTGCATTCAGTTCCAACACTGACACTCAAAATATTCCTATGAAGAGTTGAGTGGTATACATACTACTCACAAGAAGTTAAAAAACACCCATATTTTTCATATGACTATAATCAATCCGTCATGGCTCGTGGGAATTGCAACACAGACTTTCAATTGTGGGTGCTCTTTAACTTGTTTTGAGTAAGTATATCATTGACATACTTTTGTACATCACAAAGCACTGGCATTCTTCTGTATCACTGACAAACATTTGTGACCATGCAATTTCAGGTTGGGTTTCAGGGGCATAGTTCACAGAAGGTCTTGATGAGGCAAACCAGTGAATGATGTCACGAACATCACTCAATGTCACAGTCACACAATAACAGTATAATCAGATGAGAAAACAAAGTTCATCTTCATGATCTCAAAACAAGCATTATGCCAAATACTGAGACCAGTTATATAAAATGAAATTCCAAAAGGCATAATTCATGTAAAAATATTACGGAATGTATTAACATGTATGAATGACTAATTGATAGTTTTTTTTCCTACATCATCTACTTATTCTTCTCTATGACTAATAGTATATATTCTGGCTATCATATAGAAATAAATTATTTAGTTACGCTCAACAGAATCATAGTTTGCACATAGGTATTTTTCGATTCAAACCTATATGAACGGAAAAATGCACAGTCAATCCTTAAATATTCTGGCAATTATACATAAATCAATATGATAAATAGCAAATATACATTTATAATATACATGAATCATAAGCTGTACAATTTCTTATTTTATTTGGTTAAAGCTGGAAACTGCTGTGACATTGCTGTGTGCATCATCAATTGCTCAATACCATATATATTAATGTAACAAATGAATATCCAATACCAATTTATTGAAAAGAATTACTTGAACAAACACATTCATTCAAGCATGTATGGACGGAAAGTAAATTATTCATTTATCACATTGAGAGATGTCCTTCATGGGCCAACTTTTGATGAGTCAGCTTAAAAAGACTCTTGAAAAGCGTATCCACTTATATCCAAAACATTTTTTACCTGATAGGTTTTAGAATCAATTGGGAGTGACTCAATATTGCTTAATGCCGCAGCAGGGACTTCAGCCTCCACTTAGAAGCTCAAGTTTTGTAAGAAACAAATTCAGGTCGCGTGGGACCCTTTCATTATCAAGAGAATCCTTTCATTGGAGAACCTTTCATCTAAAGAACCCTTTCTTCTAGAGAACCCTTTCATTATCATCAAGAAAATCCTTTCTTTTGGAGAACTGTTTCATCTAAAGAACCCTTTCTTCTAGGGAAACCTTTTTATCTAGAGAACCTTTTCATCTGGAGAACCTTTCTTCTAGAGAACCCTTTCATGTAGAGAACCTTTTCATCTGGAGAACCTTTTCATCAAGGGAACCTTTCATCTAGAGAACCCTTTCATGTAGAGAACCCTTTCATCAAGGGAACCTTTCATCTAGAGAACCCTTTCATCTAGAGAACCCTTTCATGTAGAGGACCCTTTCATCCAGAGAACCTTTTCATCTGGAGAACTGTTTTATCAAGAAAACTTTTCATCTGAGAACCTTTTCATCTGGAGAACCCCTTCATCTAGAGAACCCATTCATATGGAGAACCTTTTCATCTAGAGAACCCTTTCATCTAGAGAACCCTTTCATCTAGAGAACCCTTTCATCTGAGAACCGTTTCATCTGGGGAAGCCTTTCATCAGGAGAACCCTTTCATGTAGAGAACCTTTTCATCTGGAGAACCCTTTCATCTAGAGAACCCATTCATCTGGAGAACCCTTTCATCTGAGAACCGTTTCATCTGGGGAAGCCTTTCATCAGGAGAACCCTTTCATGTAGAGAACCTTTTCATCTGGAGAACCCTTTCATCTAGAGAACCCATTCATCTGGAGAACCCTTTCATCTGAGAACCGTTTCATGTAGAGAACCCTTTCATCTAGAGAACCCTTTCATCCGGAGAACCCTTTCATCTAGAGAACCCTTTCATCCAGAGAACCCTTTCATCTAGAGAACCTTTCATCTGAGAACCATTTCATCTAGAGAACCCTTTCATCTGGAGAACCCTTTCATCTAGAGAACCCTTTCATCTAGAGAACCCTTTCATCTAGAGAACCCTTTCATCTGAGAACCGTTTCATCTAGAGAACCCTTTCATGTGGAGAACCCTTTCATCTATAGAACCTTTTCATCCAGAGAACCCTTTCATCTAGAGAACCTTTCATCTGAGAACCGTTTCATCTAGAGAACCGTTTCATCTGGGGAAGCCTTTCATCTGGAGAACCCTTTCATCTAGAGAACCCTTTCGTCTGAGAACCGTTTCATCTGGAGAACCTTTTCATCTGGAGAACCCTTTCATCTCGAGCACCCCTTCATCTAGAGAACCTTTTCATCTAGATACCCTTTCATCCAGAGAACCTTCATCTAGAGAACCTTTTCATCTAGAGAACCCTTTCATCTAGAGAACCCTTTCATCTGAAAACCGTTTCATCTGGAGAACCTTTTCATCTAGAGAACCCCTTCATCTGGAGAACCCTTTCATCTAGAGAACCTTTCATCTGGAGAACCCTTTCATCCAGAGAACCTTTCATCTGGAGAACCTTTAATCTAGAGAACCCTTTCATCTAGAGAACCTTTCATCTGAGAACCCTTTCATCTGGAGAACCTTTCATTTAGAGAACCCTTTAATCTAGAGAACCTTTCATCTCAAGAACCTTTCATCTGGAGAACCTTTAATCTAGTGAACCCTTTCATCTGGAAAACCTTTCCACTGGAGAACCCTTTCATGTAGAGAACCTTTTCATCTGGAGAACCTTTCGTCTGGAGAACCTTTCATCTAGAGAACCCTTTAATCTAAAGAACCTTTCATCTGGAGAACCCTCTTATCTGGAGAACCTTTCAACTGGAGGACCTTTCATCTGGAGAACCTTTAATCTAGTGAACCCTTTCATCTGGATAACCTTTCATTTAGAGAACCCTTTCATCTGGAGAACCTTTCATCTCAAGAACCTTTCATCTGGAGAACCTTTCATCTGGAGAACCCTTTCATCCAGAGAACCTTTCATCTGGAGAACCCTTTCATCCAGAGAACCCTTTCATCTAGAGAACCCTTTCATCTAGAGAACCTTTCATCTGAGAACCTTTTCATCTGGAGAACCCTTTCATCTAGAGAACCCCTTCATCTGGAGAACCTTTTCATCTAGAGAACCTTCATCTGGAGAACCCTTTTCATCCAGAGAACCTTTCATCTGGAGAGGCTTTTCATCTGGAGAACCTTTCGTCTGGAGAACCCTTTCATATAGAGAACCTTTCCATCTGCAGAACCTTTTCATCTGGAGAACCTTTCGTCTGGAGAACCTTTCATCAAGAGAACCTTTCATCTAGAGAACCCTTTAATCTAAAGAACCTTTCATCTGAGGAACCTTTCATCTTGAGAACCCTCTTATCTGGAGAACCTTTCATCTGGATGACCTTTCATCTTGGGGACCTTTCATCTGGAGAACCTTTAATCTAGTGAACCCTTTCATCTGGAGAACCTTTCATTTAGAGAACCCTTTAATCTAGAGAACCTTTCATCTCAAGAACCTTTCATCTCAAGAACCTTTCATCTGGAGAACCTTTAATCTAGTGAACCCTTTCATCTGGAGAACCTTTCATCTGGAGAACCTTTAATCTAGTGAACCCTTTCATCTGGAGAACCTTTCCATCTACTAAAGATTCCCTTTACCACAACACCTATGCAGCATTCACTACAACAAATCATTTAGGCTAAGTCATCAACAACATGTTCAATTCCAGATTGTTTGTAGGCATTCATTGTTTCATTTCTTAGACCTGCAGTGCTAGTTCTTAAAATGTACCCATGGTTTGACAGGGTATAAATGGGCATATATATAACAAAAACAAACTATTTAGGCCATCTTGGGAAGGGTTGGTCACATGACAGCCACCAAATGATTATCTTTTTGGTCCTATCCATCAATCATTTCGCATTTGAATCATAAGTCTGGTCGTAAGAGGTGACTTTATGAGAATTACTGTGAAACTATAGTAGCATCATAAATCATCTGATACTTTCACCTCTAGCATCTGAACAAAAGCTAGATAATAACTGAACAGATGAAAAATTATATCTACAAAACTTGTTTGTTGTTTACGACCACAATATTCCAGCTATATGACTGTGGTCTGTTAATAATTGAGGCAGGACCGGAGCCAACTAGTGATTGACATCATGAGCATCGATCCACACAACTGGGATACGATAACATGCATCAACCTTGTCACCTAGTCTGACCCCCTGATCCATTCAGTCACCTCTTATGACAAGCATGGGTTGCAATGAATCACTGAATTGTCTGGTCAAGATTATTTACAGACTGCTGTCATATAACTGCAATATTAATGAGACTGACATTATGTAATAAACAAACAAAATCATCGTGTCAACACAAGCATATTAATACAAGAAGGAAATTAGTTTCCCATTCAAATGATTGTTTGTTTGGCATCAATTAACTTGAATATACACGATATATTATGGAGTACCTGAGGTAAATTAGCGAAAAACATTTGGCATCTAAAACGGATTTTGTAAAAAATACAATTGTGACCTGTAGTGTATCAATATGGCCTACAAAAAGCAATTTCACTCAGACATCTTGTATCATGATATGTATGGTATTGTGATAAACTTAGTATTTTGATAGACATAGTCTTGTTATGATTGTAGAATAGTGATAAACATAAGGAAGAGAATTTATGGATAACAAAAGGTGGAAACAAATTATGTGTTGGCTTCCCTTGTTAAGTTTCCACCTTTTGTTATCAAATTAGTCTTCTTGTTCTTACACGTACATACATATGCTCTCTGCCTTGTAGCATTCATTCACCTGATGAAGGGGTATGCATATACTCCGAAACGTTGACATCCATAAATTCTCTTCCTTATGTGTATCACTTTTAAATGCCTTTCAAAGAAGTGATAAACATATTTTGATTAACTTGTTAAGATAAACATAGTATTGTGATAAACGTAGTATTATAATTAACGCTGATTGTGACTTCAGAGTTTTATCATCCCGACAATGTTTTGAGCCGTTGAGTATTTGCTCACAAAGTATATTCATATGCATATTCAAAATGTTTCTATTCCAGGGGGTCCAGCTTATTGGCTATTGTTAGGTTTCTGGTTTGCCCAAAGGACACAACTTTGGACAAAGACTTTGCATCTCTTTAGACGACTAAGTCAACCCTGCCCCCAACAGGACAAGAAACGTTAACATCTAACATTACAGTGAATGATACAATGTTGAACCACCAGACACACAATCAAGAAAGTCAATTAAACAGGATTGGTTGTTCTTTTAATAAGTAGGACTGTGCACTAGCAAAAAAATGGTTTTGCAATATATTTTGATACAGGTGTCTGTATTGTGATATATTGTGAGCTTAGTGTTTTACACTGTTTGTACACGCAGATCCTATTTTCTACATACCAAAGTAGATATTATTCAGCATGATCAGTCGCTGCCATTTTGTAGTCATGCATTCAGGGGAGATAACAATGTGAGTGAAAACTTTCGTGTTTCTGTCATTTTGTCAGTTTCGAGGGAAAGACATCATGTATGAATGCATCTCTGTGTTGACCTTAGGTTAAGCGATACAAATGATAACAAAACTTTTTTACCCAATATACTGGAACACTGATTATTGCAATATGCATTACTTGAAACATAGTGCAGTGTACTGGTAACAGTGTGCAGTCCTACAGAGTACAAGGTTATCTGACTTGTACACCGTGCAGTCCTACAGAGTACAAGGTTATCTGACTTGTACACCGTGCAGTCCTACAGAGTACAAGGTTATCTGACTTGTACACCGTGCAGTCCTACAGAGTACAAGGTTATCTGACTTGTACACCATGCAGTCCTACAGAGTACAAGGTTATCTGACTTGTACACCGTGCAGTCCTACAGAGTACAAGGTTATCTGACTTGTACACCGTGCAGTCCTACAGAGTACAAGGTTATCTGACTTGTACCCCGTGCAGTCCTACAGAGTACAAGGTTATCTGACTTGTACACCGTGCAGTCCAACAGAGTACAAGGTTATCTGACTTGTACTCCGTGCAGTCCTACAGAGTACAAGGTTATCTGACTTGTACCCCCCGAGAAGACACAGACTGTTCTCAAGGCTGAACGTCCAGCACACAATGGCCCCACAGCGGTTACCATGGACACTGGATTGGGATATAACATATTCTCAATGTCTTTCAAATAACAAAATTGTTGAGAAGAAGGAGAAGGAGAACTTATGCCAGTGTTCCCGTTGACTTTTGAAACTACCAGTCCACCAGGACTGGCAACTCTAAAAATGACCAGTACCCCCTAATTTCCGTCAGTCTCAACTTTTACCAAATAAAAAAAGTATGAAAATTACCTGGTTTTAATTCTTAATATCATGTTTAATGCAATGACGCCATCTCTGAAGTAACTTTGTTAAATTTACATGTCATTTACATAAAGTTCAGTCACATGTTTCTCTTTTTTTTGGTTAATATTTCGAGCTGAAGTTGCCACAAATGTACAGTTAACCTCGATGCAAAGCGTAATGTGATTTGCTTGCACTAAAAATAGACAAGGGGAATCCGTGATGCTGACAGACATGCTGACTTCATTCGAAACATATACTTATATGAATATAGCCAATGTTTTGTTCAAAAACAAAGATTTGTAAAGGACTGACAGGCACATGAATTACTGGTCCAAGCTTAATTTTACCGGTAAAAGACTGGTATATACCGGTTAAAGGGAACACTGCTTATGCAAATATATAAAATATTGTAATAAGGCCAGACCACGTCAATAAAACAGGATCTTTCACCAACTTACCAAAAATAATATTAACCCTTATGATAGACTCTTACATAATCAAAACATAATCTCAACAAACAATAAACTTGTGATCATGCAGAACAATGCAAAAATATAATATACGAAACTTGTGAGGTGAAATTTATGTCGCATTCAGGATTATTGCACTTATATAGCAACATGTGTGTGTGTGTGTGGCTTCTAGTACTAGTCCGGACTTATACCAGTTTTATAGTGCTAGCCCACTGAGATACCATGCCGCAGTTTAACATGGATACCCCAATGAGACACCATATACTGACTCCAAGCCGACCAGTCCTTGTATTATCCCCTTACTGCATAAAAGGTTACAAGCACCGTCTTTTCATGTGTTTTGGTATGACGCAGACAGGGATCAAACCACCAACCATCCACTCTCCAGACAAACGCTCAATCCACTGGACCACGGAGGCGGTCTATGGCTCTAGTATTAGTCGTTGCTCCTAGCATTGAGAGGGTTAGTATGACAATGTTACATATATTAGTAATGTATTAATGCAGTTTGGAGTAGGAGATGTGCTGGAATCGAGGTGCTTGGGACTCCACGCTGTGACTGGGAGGCGTTTCGGGGGAGCGGTACGCCACGGGGTACTCTCGCACTTCTTGATGATGCAAGTGACTCTGAAACGCCACCTAGTGGTTAGAGAGGAAGGAAAGGGAGATAATTAGCAAGAAGCCATGAGCAGGAAGGTGTATTAGTGCAAACTGAACAAAACCTATTTTAAATATCTCTACACGATTGGTAGACTTTGTGCATCTAGTTTTGATCAGGGGCGAGAAACCATGATTAGTTGGTCAACAAGTGTACTCTGCCCACAGGAGTGAGTGAGTTGGTCAACAAGTGTACTCTGCCCACAGGAGTGAGTGAGTTGGATTTAATGCCGTCTTCAACAGTATTCGAGTTATATCACGACATGTCACCTTGATGTCTCGACATGACATCACTGGTGTAACCCACGAGCAAGCGTAGGGTGTTGTCAATCTAGACACGTAATCAAGACGATTCAGGATACAAACTCACGATAATACATTTCTGGCTTATGTTGCTGGCGAAACAGGAAACATAACCTGTGAGATTTGAAACATACAAATTTGGGCTACACAAGAACAGCTCTGGTCAAACCATTTGAAGAATATTGCTGACTTTGGATGTCTGTGAAAGGTTTGGGTCAGTTTTATGCTACAGAAACACCTCTGCCCATAAGCTAGTGAGATGGGAGAAGATTAGAAAATTAGTATGAACATGTAATAGATATTACACCAATAGACATAAACAAAACTACAAGAATTAGTTCCTTAAACTACAAACTACTTGTTGAAGATTAATATCCAATACAAAAGCCAATCTGCAGAGACACCAACCCTCATTGAAGCTTTGAAGGAATCAGTGGGTTAAAAAGCAGAACAATTTCATGTGAAAGAGAATAATGTTATCGGAACCATTAGTTCCCTGTCCTGTAAAGACCGATTGAGTTTTAACATAACATATTTTAACATAACAACCAATCAGAGACCTCATACGATGGAGTAATGAATACCTTAACACTATGTGAAATGAAAGTATTGCTTTCATTGGTCGACAAGGACTTGCTACAGAATGATTCATGTCACCTGTGCATTGACAATTTGCTCTCTATGAGGTGGAGGAAAAGCGTAAAAGCATAATTCTAGGCTCAAAATCATAATGGTTTGCATTTCTGAATCCAACACACTTGGAGTTCAAAAGTTGGATTAGATGTTTCACTGAATAATTTGAGAATGTGACCTACATTTCCATAGTCATTTAAACAGTTAAATTAATATTCAGCTCAATGCTGTGCTGTTAACATAAGCTTTAGTGTCAGACTTGATATCAACATTGAATCTGCTTTGACATCAAGCTTGTCAGTCACCCATCTTGCAGATGTAGCGGTCATAGAAGACTGGAGTCCTGTGTCCAGGTCAGGATGCCATCTGAGGGATGACTCCACACCCTCCCACACAGACTAGAGTGAGTGAGTGAGTATGGTTTTACGCCGCTTTTAGCAATATTCCAGCAATATCACGGCGGGGGACACCAGAAATGGGCTTCACACATTGTACCCATGTCGGGAATTGAACCCGGGTCTTCGGCGTGATGAGCTAACGCTTTAACCACCAGGCTACACGACCGCCCCCACACAGACTAGACCAGCAGTGTAAGTGACCTACTATGAGATAAGGGACCTTGTGGGTGAAATCTCATTTTGACTTTTTATTATATTTTAAAATTACAGTAACACGAAAATACAATTCACAAGCTTCAATTCATATTTATTACAGAAATACATGACATCACACATGGCTATCTTCACTGAAGTAAGTCGATGTCAAACGTGTTTATGACGTTGGAGCACAATTGTATCCTAGCACCCATATGGTCCCTTTTCTCTTGGTGGCACTGCATTTCAAGCAATGATATATGACAAAACTCAGACACCGTACTTCCCTTCAGTTGTCCCAAACAAGGGCAATATTCTGGGGTCATGCATCTTCCTGAGGCAAGGGAGTTAACTGACTATAAAAGTTCAGTTTCAATCCTTGCTGAACTAGGCTGGAATTATGGAGTTATATTTGGGCTGGACTAACGAGTCAATGCACAGTCCAATCAAAATCACGTAACCAATCAACATCTGGTTTTGTAAACTGCCATGCACAGCATGTGTACCAACAACTTAGCGTCAACAGGTATTTTTCATGTCCTTAATTAAAGGCTCACGTGATTTGATGCACTTCGCGAAGAAAGACCTGTTTCATTACAATATAGATCTTGAGTATCGATCAGATTGTCTTCACAAGGTGACGCCATTTTATTTGAAGCAAATGGAATTGACATGACACACAGAATCTGATTGGTCAATAGGAGGGACATAGAAGGGACATAACTCGTTCGAACCACGATATTCCAGCCTAGTATGGCAAGGGTGGAAACTGGACATTTACAGTCGGTTAACTCCCTTGCCTCAGGAAGATGACCATTCTGTGAAATTGCAAGCCCCTGTGTGTGTTATATCAAATATCTAGTCAACCTTAAGCACGAAGTCCATTCCAGAATCTTTGGCAGCTTGTATGAACCATATCCGAATCACTGTATATGGGTCAGATGTCTTCTTGTCAATAAAAAGACTGTCATGGTTATAGAAAGGAATATGGAGAAAAGCTTGTTCTTCTATTTCAACAACTGGGCACTGTCAGGTGGGTGAGTGGGTGGGTGAGTGAGTGACTGGGTGAGTGAGTGGGTGGGTGGGTGAGTGAGTGGGTGGGTGGGTGAGTGAGTGAGTGGGTGAGTGAATGACCGGTGTTCAATATCACCAACCGCTTCTATCACAGTTGACTTGTATGTTGTAAGGGAGCAGACAAGATAATGATATATAAGACAGTATGTTTTACACCATCAAGTGACCGAGATTATTCTTTGCAACATTTTAAATACAATCATACCAAATATAAGAATTATATCCCAGTGTTGTTATTCGCATTCTTCATATAGTCTCATGTCAGGTAATTCATGTCGGGTAATCAACCATGTCACTGATGAAACAATCCAATTTAGTCACCTCTTAATACAAGCAATAGAATGCTGGGTCACAACCCCTCAATAATTATAGTGCTGATATTGTGATAAGTCTGTGTTATAGAGTTGTAGTTACAGTCATCTTAGCGTTAAGATTCTTTGTCTGGGTCTCGATTGAGGGCATGTCAAGGCAAACCTATCAGATAGACTTTCAGAACATGTGTTGTGTTTGAGAGATCATGAAACATCCTTGTGTTTCAAGCCGAATTTACTCACGCGTATTTGTGCAGGTTTCAACTTGTGTAATGTTTCTTTGTCCATACCGAACACAATAGCATTTAGAGCACCTGCAACAGGAACAACAGAAGACATGAACATCACAATCCGACGTAACAAATGTTATACTGTAAATCTTGAAATTTATGCATGCATGAATTAAATGCGAAAAATGCGAGTGGTCTTTGCTCGCATCAATTAAGTTCGCATTTAGGTCTCCAAAATGACTATCAACAATAAGACGGCCTCGCTGCACACTTTGGATAGCGGAAATACCAACTTGAATGTAAACACAAACACGGTTTATTGAGCAGCAGTTGTAACGTTGTTGACACCTTCTCAGCATGCCAATCAGTGAACTGTTGTTGGGTCAATTATTTTATTGCCTTTGAACTTTCTTAATGCCAGTCAAGGGGGCACGGGTGGCCCAGTCGTCTAAGGCGCCGCGATTCGCTGTGCAGAGTTGCGTCCCTTGGGCACGCCAGAAACCTAGGATTGTGGGTTCGAATCCCGGTTCGCCCCGATTATATTTCTAGGTTTGTCAGCACCATACCCGTACCCGTGGGTTTCTCCGAAGTGGTAAACGTCTGAGACCTGCATCACTTCGGGCTTTCCTCCCACATTAAGCTGACACGCCGGGATATAACTGGAATACTGTTAAAAGCGGTGTTAAACCCAACTCACTCACTCACTCACTAATGCCAGTCAACAGAGTAAACATATAAACTGTGTGTTGTTATTAGGAAAACACTGTATATTGTTTTTACGGAAGTGCTCTACTCAGCGCTATTTGATGTTTGATTGGGTTCAGATAAGGACATGTATCATTCCACTGGGGATGGGGTTGGGGGACTCGCATTGATAATGAAAAGCATTTTGGGCTAGGAGTCAGCAATCGTATTAATATGGAGATGCATTAATTTCCAAATTTGCAGTATTGTGGATAACGCTTTCTTTGTAAAGTACAGATTCTCGTGCTTTGTGTGCTGGCGATTAGGTGCCTCAACTTTCTAAATGACATATTGTTTTCATAGCTTCCGGCCATGGGAGCCATGCCAATTTACACTTATCAGAGGGGTACACAAAGTACATGATCTAGACTACCAGTTGTCAGACTTTCATTTTGTGGAAACCTCGGTGACTGAGTGGGTTAGATCGCTGACTTTGTGTGCTGGCGATTAGGTGCCTCACTCTGTCAGTATGGGTTCAAATAATGGACATGACTCAACCCAAAAAGTACAAGAATCTATACTTTACAAAGAAAATGTCATCTCAAAAATAACATTTGTTACATTTGACAACATTCTAAATGGCATTGTGTGTTCAATGAGTTGAGGTGAAAAGAGGTCTAATGTCATGTTCAAGATTGTTTCGCTTACATAGCGACATGCATCCATGTGTGTGTGTAGCTGCTTATACTAGCCAGGCTTATACTAGTCGTATAGTGCTAACCCACTGGGATACCATGACACGGGTTAATATGGATACCCTACTCCGACACAGTAGACTGGCCCAGAGCTGACCAGCTAGTTTTATACCATTCAAGGCTAGGTACCATCTTCTAACATCTTGCCATATGATGCGGCCAGTGGATTGAAACACTGACATTCTGATCTCCAGGCAGACACTCTATCCACTAGACCACAGAGGCAATAGCGAGTGAATAACATGTCCAAAACCATTTCATTCACATAATGCCAGCTAGTAGTTACAGAAAAAGAATTTAACTCTAAGGATCCAGACCACAATGTTACAATGATCTTATAATGTTTTATAAAACTGTTTCAGTAACTGGTGACACTTTTGAGTGAGTGAGTATGGTTTTACGCCGCTTTTAGCAATGTTCCAGCAATATCACGGCGGGGGTACACCAGAAATGGGCTTCACACATTGTACCCATGTCGGGAATCGAACCCGGGCCTTCGGCGTGACGAGCGAACGCTTAAACCACTAGGCTACCCGACCGCCCCGACACTTTTGAATGAAAAGGGTGAAAATAACTTTATAGGTAACATAATAACATCTGCATGTATGAAGCTTGTTAAGCTACCATGAAAGAGGACCTCACTCATTCCCCAAGTCACAACCTGACAATGGACGTTGGATACTAAACTAAACTGTACGAAGGGGGTGACTGGCTTTATAAACACAGTGATCATAACAATAAACAAAGATGATTTTGGAAGAGTGAGTAGGGTTCAACGACACTATAACAGCTATATTCAAGTTATATCACAGCGTGTAAAGTAAGGTGGGAGGAAAGACCGACGTGATGCAGGTCTTAGACATTTAAGACTTTAGTGAAACTCATGGGTATGACAAACCTATAAACAGAATTTGGCAAACCGAGATTTGAACCAACAATCATAAGTTTCTGTCGTGTCCTAAGGACGCAACTCTGCACAGGGAATGGCGGCGCCTTAGACGACTTGGCCTGCAGTGGTCCCAACTTTTGAAGAATAAAAGAAAAGGAAGGAATACATACCATGCAGTGGAGCTGATATAGACGCCAGCAGGACCAGCGCAAACACATGGTAATGGGGGGATATTGCATTCTGAATCCTGAAACACAAGTTCCAGACACATCAGCATACAGTCATGGCACTGTGCTATATGTGGCTTGACTAGAGAGACTTCACCGTGGGGTATTGATGGACCAAGAGAGTTTGTTTTTTGGTAGTAGATTTGTAAATTGCACTTTTATGTCGTAATGTTTTCGAATTCAATTAACTAGTGACCATTAGCTAATTATGAAGGCCTGGGTTTGAAATTCACATGGTATTGTGTGACACCTTACTTTGATGTTTACCTGTTGACGAGGGTGTGACACTGATGCTTACCTGTTGATGAGGGGGAAGATGGACACGGCCAGGTACACAAAGGGGTAGAACCTCAGTGGTTTGATATCCTCCTTCAGCATTTGCTGAAACACACAGAACAGAACAGCTGTCATCAGACAACGGCGGGAACAGACCACACTGGGTACCCGTGACCCCATCTTCCCGAGGCAAGGGAGTTAACTGACTGTAAATGTCCAGTTTCCATTGCATTCCACCGCCGTCATATAGCTGGAATATTGCTGAGTGCGGCGTTAAACAAGTCAAACAAACAAGAACAAATCAAGGTTAGTGCACTTATATCGCAAATCAGTTTGTACTGAAACTTATGCTGAGTTTATAGTGCTAGCGCACTGAGATACCATGCCGAGTCCGAGCTGATCAGTCCCTTAATGCCGACCACCAGGCAGGGTAACAACAAGTACCATCTTTTATCATCTTTTGGTATGACATGGCCAAACTACTGACCTTCCGCTCTTTGGACAGATGTTCTATCCACTAGACCAAGGAGACAGTTTATGACAAGGACCCCTCAAATTTCGCACTTGAAATTGAAAATTGAATAACAAAAGATTTTTGAAAGGCATTCTCCATGATCATTTGTTTTTTTCTTCAGTTTGTGTTCCTGTTCCTGAGAGGTTGTTCTTACATGTTCTCTCTCTGTGTCAGGATCGTATGTTCCTTCCCAGGTGTTGGCCTGTAATGAAAACAAGTGTTGACAAAAACGTGATGGAAAGTAACATTATCTTCCCTTATTACAGTAAAATATAGATCTACATGCCTCAAGTTTTTATTATACTCATATTGATGAGTGAGTGAGTTTGCTTTAAAGCTATTTTGATGCTTATTATCCAAACAGTTTAACTGACGAAAACATTTACCTACAATACACAACAGTCATGCACTGATTGAACAGTATGTGAGTCAAATCATGCCATGTCAGCTTGATGTGCGAGAAAAGGCTAAAGTGATGCAGCTCTCAGACAAACCTAGAAAGTTAACAGGGCCTAAATGGGTTTTCAAACCCATGATCACAGGTTTCGGATATGCCAAGGGAAACAACTCTGCTTAGGGAATTCAATAGCTATAACCGACTGGGCGACTTGATGTCCTTGAACAACAACCATGTACTGTGTATCACTGACTCTATCAGACTGAAAAATGGCAGGCCCTACTTGCATCTGCGCGCCAAGATGATCGTAACTCCCATAACAATAATCAAAGCGCAGAGATGGGCCCAGAGGGCAGTTTCATTATCTTTTCAACTGTTGATAATGCATATGATTATCAACAAAATGGTTTGGATGACAGTCAACATGGTCACTCTACTAGAAAATGAACTGATCTGAAAACCTAAGCTAACAGTGAGCAATTATTCTTTTACACCAGAGTCAACAATATTCCCACTATCTTGGTGGCCTGTACATAACCGAGCCAGTGTTTGATGGCATGAGCATGCATGCGACAAGATCCTTGAAGATCTTCAGCAACCCATGATGTTGTAAGAGGCGACTATGCTTGTCGTATGAGGCGACTAACGGGATCGGGTGGTCAGGCTCGCTAACTTAGTTAATGCATGTCATCGTATCTCAATTGCGCGGATCGATGCTCATGATATCAGTCACTGGACTGTCTGGTCCAGACTTGTTTATTTACAGACCACCATCATATAGCTAGTATATTGCTTAGTGTGGCGTAAAACAACAACCAAACAAAGCATGCTACAATGACACACAATCAGTCGGGTCAGACATTGTGGCCACCCAATCCTCATTGCAGATGTCTCTTTTTCCTATCTGGACAAATTACCACAGGCATCATTGATCAAGCTTCATAAAATTACTTGCAGTAATATGACGGCAGCCTGTAAATAATCGATTCTGATCCAGGCAATCCAGTGATTGATATTAATGATCTAAATCATTGAGGAACATTGAGACAAAATTAACCAAGGCAATGAACCTGCATGAAGCCAGTGATCGATATTGAGAGCAACGATCAATGTTGTCAGGGTACATCATAGTCACTGAGCCTGACCACCCAATCCATTTAGCAAAGACTGCTGGCAGTGTCCGATATAACTGCCTGCCCACAGGCCTGTGACTGGCAACTTTTCTGTCAGGCTGCATAAAATTTTCCTCCACCTGCCCGAATGTCTTGGAGATAATTTTAAGACTACTTACTTATTCAGTTTTATTATAACTCCTCGAAGATTCTCAAGTAATTGCTTGCATTATTTCTACTGAATCAAGATGCAATTTGTCTCTATTCAATATTTATAATGTCAGAATGCGGGCAGGTAACTTTGAAGATGGGCAGGTAACATTTATGGGTCACATGCCATTCCATGGGTTTTAAAATGTGTTCAAACACTGGCTGCTGGGGACCTATTCCGACCCGGGAACCCCACAGGATTGGCACTATTGAAGAGGGAGTGAGTGAGTGAGTGAGTTGGGTTTAACACTACTTTTAACAGTATTCCAGTTATATCACGGCGTGTCAGCTTAATGTGGGAGGAAAGCCTGAAGTGATGGAGGTCTCAGACATTTACCACTTCGGTGAAATCCACGAGCACGGGTATGGTGCTGACAAACCTAGAAAAATAATCAGTGCAAACCGGGATTCGAACCCACAATCCTAGGTTTCTGGCGTGCCCAAGGGACGCGACTCTGCACAGCAAATAGCGCCTTAGACGGCCGGGCCACCCGTGCCCCCTCACTATTGAAGAACTGGCAGTAGCAGTACTTACCTTTCTGTGGAGCATGACGGAGATGTAGATATAGGCCACAAACAGCAAGGCAATGATGATGAACAGAGGGCCATACCAGCTGAAACACATCAACAATATCATAGGAATCTTGTATGTGTAGGTTTTCTTTGTTTGCTTGTTGTTTAACGCCGCACTCCGCAAATTTCCAGCTACATGACGGCCGTCTGTAAATAATTGAGTCTGGACCAGACAATCCGGTGATTGACATGAGCATCACTCCACTAAATTGGGATACCATGACAAGCATCAACCAAGTCAGCGAGTCTAACCACTTGACATTTTCACTATGGGTTAGAAAAGAAAGTAGTATATCTGATTCTTGTATCTCAATAAAAAAACAACATAAACATGCAGTTCTAGTATATCATTTTAAATAAATAAGTCAACAATAATAACTTCAAAGATCAGTTATTTCATAATAAATACAACAAAAGTTGACAATATCGGTGATGTTGTTTAGCATAATAACGCAAAACAAATCGACACTACTATCACTAAATCAAGAGACAGATGCCAGTGGACATGAACTAATATTTTTTCAGTTTTAAAGAAACATAAATGCAAAATGATATTGCTTGGATGGCAATGAAATTGCTTGCAATTTATTTTAATATTCTACACCTTCTTATTTCTAGTGCTGGGGATTCCTGAACACCAAAGCCCCATATTAGAAAATGTTTTTTATTGCAATTCATGCACATGCATTGGTTACAGAACAAACCCAGTGTGAGCAGGTAAGGGACACAACACTCCCTGACATAATTGAGCTCGATGGCTTCATGCTTAAAATTTATCTGGGTCATTGAACAGTGGTTAGGACGGTACTTGTTTCACCTAACAACCTCATTATAAGAGGGTTTTACTTTTCGAAGGTAAGACTTGTTAGACTTCATGCCAGAGTGAGGTTTTACTTTTTCCTTGTTGGACCTCATCCCAGAGTGAGGTTTTACTTTTTCCTTGTTGGACCTCATCCCAAAGTGGGGTTTTACTTTTTCCTTGTTGGACCTCATCCCAGAGTGAGGTTTTACTTTTTCCTTGTTGGACCTCATCCCAAAGTGAGGTTTTACTTTTTCCTTGTTGGACCTCATCCCAGAGTGAGGTTTTACTTTTTCCTTGTTGGACCTCATCCCAGAGTGAGGTTTTACTTTTTCCTTGTTGGATTTCATTCCAGAGTGAGGTTAATAAACCTCCTACCATGTTTGTGTGACCACGGGGGTTTTCGAAATGGTTGAATTCCCACATAGAACGCACTCGTTTAGATGTCACCCTGCAGTCTGGTTTACAATGATTGTAAACACTCCTGTGAGAGCTACTAATACTTCTATCAAAATAAATTTGTACTTGGTGTTTCAAATGTCTAATGTTCCAAAATCGAAGACAAGAAATGAAAGTTTTCATTATGGATAACAGGAATCTAACCTGCAACCTCGCATATCGTGTTTAGTTTTGTAACTCACTGTTTTCCCACTGAGCAACCGGGGTAGGTGCTGAAAAGTTGTTCAATTTGACATCACATGAGTTCAGTTGGTCCATGCTGCATGTGTTTTTTCTCTCAAATGCTTTGATCGGATTCCTTTTACACCGCAACACACTGTATTGTTTCACCTTTAGGTACCTCGATGTGTTATATTATCCATGTGAGGAGTTGATTTATATGTTGGACAAACCACTTCTCCTGAGGATTGCTTGAGGTTGTAAACTCTGACAGGAGCAATATATACCGAGGCCCACAGCTACAGATAAGCAGGGTATTTGAGTAAAATACCCCCCTCCCAAATATTCAAAACCCAATTACTTTCAATTAACTTTCGTACAGAAACGCATGCATTAAATGAAAAACTCAAATGTATAAAAACAGCACGCGTAAATACCCAATGAACGGAGCTAATTTCCGTAACACAATTACGAGCTAATTACTTTACGAGTCAAACCTATATATTTAGAAGAGTATATACATCTAAAACATTATTTTATTTTTTTTTAAATCTTAAAATGTTCACTAATTTTGGGAAAAAACATTAGATTGCTGAATAGATGAGTGAAAAAGTATTGGTTACCCAATGAAAAATGTAATAACCCAATTAAAATAGAAACCCTAGAGTAAAAACTCAATTGCTCAAAAAGTTATCCGGAGCTCTGGAGGCCCCTAGGTACCTTCCCTCCAGTCAGGGTTTACAATCTCAAGTAATCCCAAGGGAAGGTGCTTTCTCCTTGTCACACTTACAGAAATTTTCAGCAACCTAGCCTCTTGGTATTACAGCCTTTCGAGGAATCATTTTCTATAACTTTGTGTTGGAATTAAATTAGCGTATTTCAGACCTGAGTTCACATACTGTCCAATGTTTGGACAAAATGGTTTAAGAAAAGATCAAAAGCAGGACATTTCTGTTGGAATTGGGAAGAAGCCGTGCACATGTTTAAGGAAGGTATCTTAATTATCTTAAAGTTCAGTTGGAATTTAAAATCTGTGTCTGTTTCTTCTATAAACGAGCATACCCAAACTGAAACAAAACATTTTAGAGTTGTAACAGTGCTGGTTTGCTGAATATGATAGAGGCGTGTAAAAAAAATAAAGTCTGGGCCAGGCAATCCAGTGACTGATATTATGATCAACATCCCATGTTGTTGGCGCACAATGACATGCAATCAAAAACATAAACAAGCCACACCAACGATTCATGAAACTGCCGCTTACAACGAGTGCAGTGTACTCAGACCAAATTCTAACCCGGAATCCCCACAGGGTGACTGATGCTGTGAGCACTGTTTAGTGTTACTATGGCAACAGATATAACTTACATGCCCAGCCTCCATTTCCAGTCTTCGATAATCCAGCTGAAAGGTGAATAAGTGACAAGGTGTTAAATGGAATTGACAGTATTTCAGCCATGTCATGGTGTTACTATGAGAAGATTGTATTTAATATACAAGAGTTGTGATGTATTTCGATGGAACATTAATGACACGCCATTTTGGAATCAGTTTGCTTGTAGTAGATATTCACAGAGAGTTGTCTACCCACAACAGCGGCCTGTAGCTGACACAGTTGTCTACCTACAACAACGGGCCTGAAACTGACACAGTTGTCTACCCACAACAGCTTCCTATAGCTGACACAGTTGTCTCCCCACAACAGCGGCCTGTAGCTGACACAGTTGTCTGCCCACAACAGCGGCCTATAGCTGACACAGTTGTCTACTCACAACAGCGGCCTATAGCTGACACAGTTGTCTACCCACAACAGCTGCCTGTAGCTGACACAGTTGTCTACCCACAACAGCTGCCTGTAGCTGACACAGTTGTCTACCCACAACAGCGGCCTGTAGCTGACACAGTTGTCTACCCACAACAGTTGCCTGTAGCTGACACAGTTGTCTACCCACAACAGCGGCCTGTAGCTGACACAGTTGTCTACTCACAACAGCCGCCTGTAGCTGACACAGTTGTCTACCCACAACAGCGGCCTGTAGCTGACACAGTTGTCTACCCACAACAGCGGCCTGTAGCTGACACAGTTGTCTACCCACAACAGCGGCCTGTAGCTGACACAGTTGTCTACTCACAACAGCAGCCTGTAGCTGACACAGTTGTCTACCCACAACAGCTGCCTGTAGCTGACACAGTTGTCTACCCACAACAGCGGCCTGTAGCTGACACAGTTGTCTACCTACAACAGTTGCCTGTAGCTGACACAGTTGTCTACCCACAACAGCGGCCTGTAGCTGATACAGTTGTCTACCCACAACAGCGGCCTGTAGCTGACACAGTTGTCTACTCACCACCAGGCTCCAGCAGGCCCGTAGCGGTCGTTGATGAAAGGCAAGCAGGACACCACAAATGAAAACACCCAGCACAAAATATGGTAGGCCCTGAAATATAAAAAAAACAAAAAACCTTACACTTAAAGTAAATCATGAAGATGAGGCAACAATCCAATGTAATTGATACCACTACTGCATGTGCATTTTTATGGGTACCAACTAAAAAAGGTGTTTGCCAATATTTCACTGCTGCACGTGAATGTTCCAAAAACAACAGGTTGTGTTTTGTTTCCTTAAGCATCCATTTGGTGGTCTGTGGTAATGTATACTGACTCTGAGCTGACCAGTCCTTGTTTTAGCCCCTGAATGCCGAGAGCAAGGCAGGGTTACAACAAGTGCCATCTTTTAACATCTTTTGGTGTGAAGCAGCTGGGGATCGAACCCTGAACCTTCCGCTCTCTGGGCGGACGCTCTACCACTAGACCACAGAATCAGTGCCATCTCAGCAGGGTGCACTTACTATGAAAAGATCATCTTCTGCAGTGACCAGTGGAAGTTATTTTGATTTGATACCTCTGAGTGACCAATCAGAATAACCCTGACTAATCAGAATAACCCTGCTCAGACTGTCTAATCCTGCTCAGTCTGTCTAACCCTTCCCAGTCTGTCTGACCCTGCTCAGTCTGTCTAACCCTGCTCAGTCTGTCTGACCCTGCTCAGTCTGTCTATCCCTGCCCAGACTGTCTAACCCTGCTCAGTCTGTCTAACCCTGCTCAGTCTGTCTAACCCTGCTCAGTCTGTCTAACCTTGCTCAGTCTGTCTAACCCTGCTCAGTCTGTCTAACCTTGCTCAGTCTGTCTAACCCTGCTCAGTCTGTCTATCCCTGCCCAGACTGTCTAACCCTGCTCAGTCTGTCTAACCCTGCTCAGACTGTCTATCCCTGCTCAGACTGTCTAACCCTGCTCAGTCTGTCTAACCCTGCTCAGTCTGTCTAACCCTGCCAAGTCTGTCTAACCTTTCTCAGTCTGTCTCACCCTGCTCGGTCTGTCTAACCCTGCCCAGTCTGTCTAACCCTGCTCAGACTGTCTAACCTTCTTGGTCAGTCTAACCCTGCAGCTGCTCAGTCTGTCTAACCCTGCTCAGTCTGCGACCTGGTATAGCAGCACACACAACGATGCCAAGCACGTACCACTCAAACCTGTGTGTGGTGGTGGCCCTGATGACGTTCATGTAGAGGTTGAAGGTGATGCAGCCCACCCACAGCAGCACCGTCCAGTCTGGGGAGAGAGAAGGTGTGTGAGTGAGTTGAAAGTCACGTCATCAATATGTCAGCCATTGTGACCAGACTAAATAATGCATTCACTTATTCCACAACCCTCTCATCAAAAGACAACAAGACAAGAAAATAGCCACCATGGGGCACATTAGAATTTTGTTTGTTCATACAGTAGTGGATATAAACTACAAACTCCTATAAAGCCTTAAGAAGAGGGAGGCACTTGGGCCGCTTTATGTCATCAGGAAAAATGATTAAATGTGAAATGAATGCAAACAAAAAGCCTATTCTCCGAAAAGAATAACACTGTCTTGATAAATATCTCTTAGATAAGCTACCAGCAGTAGTTTCTGAGAAATCTTGTCCCCATTGCACACAGTATGCTAGAGACAAAATAACATGGATCAAGGGGAATAACTCTGTAAAAAAAATCCTTGATGGGACCAATCTTTGAACTGTCTTGACGAGTATCTCTTAGATAAGCATGCACACTTTCATTCATTCATTTCATTCTCATTTCTGTGAAAAATTGTACCCATTTCACATAGTATGCAATAATTTGAAAAGCACATAGTGAGTATGGTACCATATACACAGTGAGTATGGTACAATATACACACAGTGAGTATGGTACAATATACACACAGTGAGTATGGTACAATATATACACAGTGAGTATAGTACCATATATACACAGTGAGTATGGTACAATATATACACAGTGAGAATGGTACAATATACACACAGTGAGTATGGTACAATATACACACAGTGAGTATGGTACAATATATACACAGTGAGTATGGTACAATATACACACAGTGAGTATGGTACAATATACACACAGTGAGTATGGTACAATATATACACAGTGAGTATGGTACAGTATACACACAGTGAGTATGGTACAATATATACACAATGAGTATGGTACAATATATACACAGTGAGTATGGTACAATATACACACAGTGAGTATGGTACAATATATACATAGTGAGTACATATCAGTATGATTAGAATAGAGGTTGCAACTGTGAGGTTGTTCTCACAGCAGCCGAACTAAACATACCAAAAAATGTCAGCCACCATCCCAAGAAGTTGCACAGTTTACTGTCAGGGATCATGTCACTCTGAAAATAGAAAAAAGACAGTTAACATGGTTAAGATCAAACTTCAAACATATTCTGTTTCTCCTATGAGAAAAAAATGACATTGACACAAACAGCAAAGAGCTGAAAATTACCATGGTTACTGGTGTTCCAGAAGACTGAAATTTCTTTACAGAGTCTGAGAAAGCAGCAACAGTTGTGTTAGAATTGGTTAATTATTCATTGCACTGGATGTTAGCTGAGCTGTAGGAATGGTCTTACACGGAATACATCTACGCTGAACAGACTTGACACACAATCATCACTGGGATGGGACGATGTCATGTTTTCAGGGAAATGATGGTGAAATATATTCTGCGTTTTGTCAGGACAAGGTGAACACGAGTTTGGGAGGGGCAGTGGTGGCAGGGGCTGTGGTGGCAGGGGCTGATGTGTCAGGGGCTGTGGTGTCAGTGGTGTCAGGGGCAGTGGTGTCAGGGGCAGTGGTGTCAGGGGCAGGGGGGGCAGGGGCTGTGGTGTCAGGGGCTGTGGTGTCAGGGGCTGTGGTGTCAGGGGCTGTGGTGGCAGGGGCAGTGGTGGCAGGGGCAGGGGTGGCAGGTGCATTAGTGGCAGGGGCAGGGGGGGCAGGGGTGGCAGGGGCTGTGGTGGCAGGGGCAGGGGGGGCAGGGGTAGCAGGGGCAGTGGTGGCAGGGGCAGGGGTGGCAGGGGCAGTGGTGGCAGGGGCAGTGGTGGCAGGGGCAGTGGTGGCAGGGGCAGTGGTGGCAGGGGCAGGGGGGGCAGTGGTGGCAGGGGCAGTGGTGGCAGGGGCAGGGGTGGCAGGGGCAGTGGTGGCAGGGGCTGTGGTGGCAGGGGCAGTGGTGGCAGGGGCAGGGGTGGCAGGGGCAGTGGTGGCAGGGGCAGGGGTGGCAGGGGCAGTGGTGGCAGGGGCTGTGGTGGCAGGGGCTGTGGTGGCAGGGGCTGTGGTGGCAGGGGCAGGGGGGGCAGTGGTGGCAGGGGCAGTGGTGGCAGGGGCAGTGGTGGCAGGGGCAGGGGTGGCAGGGGCAGTGGTGGCAGGGGCAGGGGTGGCAGGGGCAGTGGTGGCAGGGGCTGTGGTGGCAGGGGCAGTGGTGGCAGGGGCAGTGGTGGCAGGGGTAGAGGTGGCAGGGGCTGTGGTGGCAGGGGCTGTGGTGGCAGGTGCAGTGGTGGCAGGGGCAGTGGTGGCAGGGGCAGTGGTGGCAGTGGTGTCAGGGGCAGTGGTGTCAGGGGCAGTGGTGGCAGGGGCAGTGGTGGCAGGGGCAGTGGTGGCAGGGGCTGTGGTGGCAGGGGCAGTGGTGGCAGGGGCTGTGGTGGCAGGGGCAGGGGGGGCAGGGGCTGTGGTGGCAGGGGCAGGGGGGGCAGGGGCTGTGGTGGCAGGGGCTGTGGTGGCAGGGGCAGGGGGGGCAGGGGCTGTGGTGGCAGGGGCTGTGGTGGCAGGGGCAGTGGTGGCAGGGGCTGTGGTGGCAGGGGCAGGGGGGGCAGGGGTGGCAGGGGCAGTGGTGGCAGGGGCAGAGGTGGCAGGGGCAGTGGTGGCAGGGGCAGTGGTGGCAGGGGCAGTGGTGGGAGGGGCAGTGGTGGCAGGGGCTGTGGTGGCAGGGGCTGTGGTGGCAGGGGCAGTGGTGGCAGGGGCAGTGGTGGCAGGGGCAGTGGTGGCAGGGGCTGTGGTGGCAGGGGTGGTGGTGGCAGGGGCAGTGGTGGCAGGGGCAGTGGTGGCAGGGGCAGTGGTGGCAGGGGCTGTGGTGGCAGGGGCAGGGGTGGCAGGGGCAGTGGTGGCAGGGGCAGTGGTGGCAGGGGCAGTGGTGGCAGGGGCAGTGGTGGCAGGGGCTGTGGTGGCAGGGGTGGTGGTGGCAGGGGCAGTGGTGGCAGGGGCAGTGGTGGCAGGGGCAGTGGTGGCAGGGGCTGTGGTGGCAGGGGTGGTGGTGGCAGGGGCAGTGGTGGCAGGGGCAGAGGTGGCAGGGGCAGTGGTGGCAGGGGCAGTGGTGGCAGGGGCAGTGGTGGCAGGGGCTGTGGTGGCAGGGGTGGTGGTGGCAGGGGCAGTGGTGGCAGGGGCAGAGGTGGCAGGGGCAGTGGTGGCAGTGGCTGTGGTGGCACGGGCTGTGGTGGCAGGGGCTGATATGTGTGAGTGAGAAACTTGGGGTTTAAAGCTACGTTTTTATATCAGATCTATTACTCTGATGCAATAACTTTTAGCATGAAAATCAGACATCCTCTCAAAGGAGGTCGGTTACGTCAGGTGAATATTGAGCAAACTTTGACTTCCCAAGCTAAATGAAGGATGTCTGGGTATTCTTGAGCCAATTAGCAAACAGTTTGACAAGCACAGGTATGGTGCTGACAAACCTAGAAACATAATGGGGGTGAACCAGGATGGGAGTGTCATTGACCATAACTTCCAGAGTTGCATCCTTCTGCTTCCAGGCACCTATATATTGGGTGTGTGTGTGTGGATGATTGGGGCACGGGGGTTGGTGGATGACTGGGGCACAGCGGGTGGATGCGTCGAGGTGTGGGGCACAGGATGGAGGCTGGATCCAGGTTTGGGGTGGTTGGAGTGAAGTTTGGGGGACATGGGGGTAGATGGTTCAAGGCTTGGGGCACCTGGAGGTGGGTGGAGTGAAGTTTGGGGGACATGGGGGTAGATGGTTCAAGGCTTGGGGCACCTGGAGGTGGGTGGAGTGAAGTTTGGGGGACATGGGGGTAGATGGTTCAAGGCTTGGGGCACCTGGAGGTGGATGGAGTGAAGTTTGGGGGACATGGGGGTAGATGGTTCAAGGCTTGGGGCACCTGGAGGTGGGTGGAGTGAAGTTTGGGGGACATGGGGGTAGATGGTTCAAGGCTTGGGGCACCTGGAGGTGGGTGGAGTGAAGTTTGGGGGACATGGGGGTAGATGGTTCAAGGCTTGGGGCACCTGGAGGTGGGTGGAGTGAAGTTTGGGGGACATGGGGGTAGATGGTTCAAGGCTTGGGGCACCTGGAGGTGGGTGGAGTGAAGTTTGGGGGACATGGGGGTAGATGGTTCAAGGCTTGGGGCACCTGGAGGTGGATGGAGTGAAGTTTGGGGGACATGGGGGTAGATGGTTCAAGGCTTGGGGCACCTGGAGGTGGATGGAGTGAAGTTTGGGGGACATGGGGGTAGATGGTTCAAGGCTTGGGGGACCTGGAGGTGGATGGAGTGAAGTTTGGGGGACATGGGGGTAGATGGTTCAAGGCTTGGGGCACCTGGAGGTGGATGGAGTGAAGTTTGGGGGACATGGGGGTAGATGGTTCAAGGCTTGGGGACCTGGAGGTGGGTGGAGTGAAGTTTGGGGGACATGGGGGTAGATGGTTCAAGGCTTGGGGCACCTGGAGGTGGGTGGAGTGAAGTTTGGGGGACATGGGGGTAGATGGTTCAAGGCTTGGGGCACCTGGAGGTGGATGGAGTGAAGTTTGGGGGACATGGGGGTAGATGGTTCAAGGCTTGGGGCACCTGGAGGTGGATGGAGTGAAGTTTGGGGGACATGGGGGTAGATGGTTCAAGGCTTGGGGCGCCTGGAGGTGGGTGGAGTGAAGTTTGGGGGACATGGGGGTAGATGGTTCAAGGCTTGGGGCACCTGGAGGTGGGTGGAGTGAAGTTTGGGGGACATGGGGGTAGATGGTTCAAGGCTTGGGGGACCTGGAGGTGTGTGGAGTGAAGTTTGGGGGACATGGGGGTAGATGGTTCAAGGCTTGGGGCACCTGGAGGTGGGTGAAGTGAAGTTTGGGGGACATGGGGGTAGATGGTTCAAGGCTTGGGGGACCTAAGGTGGATGGAGTGAAGTTTGGGGGACATGGGGGTGAATGGTTCAGGGCTTGGGGCACCTGGAGGTGGATGGAGTGAAGTTTGGGGGACATGGGGGTAGATGGTTCAAGGCTTGGGGCACCTGGAGGTGGATGGAGTGAAGTTTGGGGGACATGGGGGTAGATGGTTCAAGGCTTGGGGCACCTGGAGGTGGGTGGAGTGAAGTTTGGGGGACATGGGGGTAGATGGTTCAAGGCTTGGGGGACCTAAGGTGGATGGAGTGAAGTTTGGGGGACATGGGGGTAGATGGTTCAAGGCTTGGGGCACCTGGAGGTGGGTGGAGTGAAGTTTGGGGGACATGGGGGTAGATGGTTCAAGGCTTGGGGCACCTGGAGGTGGGTGGAGTGAAGTTTGGGGGACATGGGGGTAGATGGTTCAAGGCTTGGGGCACCTGGAGGTGGATGGAGTGAAGTTTGGGGGACATGGGGGTAGATGGTTCAAGGCTTGGGGGACCTAAGGTGGATGGAGTGAAGTTTGGGGGACATGGGGGTGAATGGTTCAGGGCTTGGGGCACCTGGAGGTGGATGGAGTGAAGTTTGGGGGACATGGGGGTAGATGGTTCAAGGCTTGGGGCACCTGGAGGTGGATGGAGTGAAGTTTGGGGGACATGGGGGTAGATGGTTCAAGGCTTGGGGCACCTGGAGGTGGGTGGAGTGAAGTTTGGGGGACATGGGGGTAGATGGTTCAAGGCTTGGGGCACCTGGAGGTGGGTGGAGTGAAGTTTGGGGGACATGGGGGTAGATGGTTCAAGGCTTGGGGGACCTAAGGTGGATGGAGTGAAGTTTGGGGGACATGGGGGTAGATGGTTCAAGGCTTGGGGCACCTGGAGGTGGGTGGAGTGAAGTTTGGGGGACATGGGGGTAGATGGTTCAAGGCTTGGGGCACCTGGAGGTGGGTGGAGTGAAGTTTGGGGGACATGGGGGTAGATGGTTCAAGGCTTGGGGCACCTGGAGGTGGATGGAGTGAAGTTTGGGGGACATGGGGGTAGATGGTTCAAGGCTTGGGGCACCTGGAGGTGGGTGGAGTGAAGTTTGGGGGACATGGGGGTAGATGGTTCAGGTTGGGGGCACACAATGAACAGCTACAAACCTCTGTGTGTTCCTGAAAGCATCAGAGAGGATGAAGAAGAGACAGATGAGTTAGAGTAGTTAGACATGCATCTAGACTGACATTCCTCAACAAACAGAATTTCTAATCGGTAAAGACCTAAAGAGATGTTGTCTGACAAGTCACAAACTATGCAAGCATCAAACAGCATCAAAATCCAAACCTGATACTGTAAATCTTGAAATTAATGCATCTCAAAGCTAATATGACTGCTGACCGACCCCTAGCCAAAAATGCGACTCAATATTATTGCGACTCCCCCCATCGCTTATTAGCACATAGTAGAGCATTTCCATAAAAACAATTAACAGTTTATATGTTTATTCTGTTGACTGGCATTAAAGAAGTTCAAGGGAAAAAAATAATTGAACCAACAGTTAACTGACTGGTGTGCAGAGAATGTGACTACATCTATTAGACGAATGTCGCACTCTGATATCATTAACTCAGTAAGTTCCAGTGCATGGAGGAGACGCAGCTTACCATGAGATAGGAGATGCTGTCCAACAGCGCACTGATGCTCAGGTACAGGATCAACCTCTGCAACAGAAGAAGACATCTTGGTTAATAAGGGAGGTAACTCATGGGTCCAAAACGCCCACTTTGTGAACCAGGGTATTTTTCCTTGCCTTTGAAAACTGGGAGTCCAAAACTCGCTGCAGATGTTTATATTTTTATGAGAACAAATAAAAGAGTCATGCATGAGTTTTTAGTCAAGCCAATATCAAAATAAATATTTTCAAGCAAAAGCATGTTTATTTCAGGGAGTTTCAAAACGAAAACAATTAACGTTCTTTTGGAAATAGACATACCGTAATCGACGTAATAAGCGCCCACAGCGATATTTGCTGATATATTGGCTAGTGAATAAGCCCAATTAGCATCCCTTCCGATTGATCAATGTACACAAGACTTATTTTTTCGGTATAATACGCACATGTGTTATATGCACCCTTATTTATGGGCAATTAAATTTTGGAAAAATATATCTGTCGTACATAAACATTTCAGGCTGTCACCACAAACCACGAAATTTATCTTTCAACTATGTTTTTTTTCCACCAAAATAATATTGTAATAACAGCCCCCAATTTGTAATTTTGAGAGCGCCCTGGGCGCTTATTACGTCGAATACGGTAATGTGTTTTCAGATTTGTTGGTTTAAGCTTAAACCGGAAATATTCTGATCACAGTACCTGTGTAAACACGATGTATTTCTTAAAGAGCCAGATGACGAAGATCATGAAGACACTGCAGAAAACAAGGAAACCATTAACAGTGATTAACACAGCTACAGGAACAAGCAGTATGCAGGATGAAACATGGCAACTTTCAATTTGGGGACTTATTACTTTTAGGTTGGTTTAAGGAATATTGTTTTGTTCTTAACATTGTTGGTGGTCAATACCAAAAACTGGTCTTCAAATGCACATGTCAGTGGTCTGAACAAACGGTTTTCGACCGACACAAGATGATTGTTTGGCAAAATCCATAAATCACAAAAGATGTGGCCTAACACAGTGCATATAGTTACAATAAAGACATACAATGAAGTTTGTGGTATAAAACAAGGTCAGGTTTTCTCTATTTTATGGAATCAGTGAGATAATTGAATACCATCAAGTGAGCTAGATGACTTTGTAAAACCTGTCCCTATTGATCTTGCTGGCTGAGACGTGATAAAGCGGACCATCCTAAATCCTGTGACAACACAAGAGTTTGTGGTCAAAGACTGACCAGTTGTGATAATTGGTGGACCGTCCAGCAGGAAAGCCATTCATGTCAACACTTAGCACTCTGCTTCTATCATGGCATCTGGATTCAGAGTGAAGAAGCTTGTATAAACAAGATATAGGGACTGACCAGTTAATACTCAGGGGAAGGGATAAGGGGAAATTGGACTCTAGTTGAAGGAAATAAAAAAATGTCCCCACCCTCCTTTTCCCTATCCCAAAGAACAACAAAATGATTTGTCCTCAAAATTTACCCAAAATAACATGCTGAGTTAAATATTAACACATATACTGACAGAATATATCGACCTGGGTGTATCCCCGATACTTGCCTCCAGTTTATGACAGGAGCAAACATGGTAAAGGACTTACCATCCAATAAAGGAGAACGAGGCCACCACTTTCCTCACCAGAACCACAGTATCCTGCACAGAAATCAAATATACATTGTGAGTGAGTGAGTGAGTGAGGGAGGGAGGGAGGGAGGGAGGGAGGGAGTAAACAAGGAAAATATCAAAATTTAAGTACAAAACATACCACATAAATTAATGCAAAACAGATCCACACGACTGGCAACAAACATGGTAACATATTCACAATTTATTTTCAGACCAATATCTCTATGTTTCAGGAATTAATTATAGTAATCACAGGTAAGTGAGACATAGTAACCAAAGGTAAGATAGCTGTAGTAATCACAGGTAAGATAACTGTAGTAATCATAGGTAAGATAGCTGTAGTAATCACAGGCAAGAGAACTGTAGTAATCATAGGTAAGATAGCTGTAGTAATCACAGGTAAGAGAACTGTAGTAATCATAGGTAAGATAGCTGTAGTAATCACAGATAAGAGAACTGTAGTAATCATAGGTAAGATAGCTGTAGTAATCACAGGTAAGAGAACTGTAGTAATCATAGGTAAGATAGCTGTAGTAATCACAGGTAAGAGAACTGTAGTAATCATAGGTAAGATAGCTGTAGTAATCACAGGTAAGATAGTTGTAGTAATCACAGGTAAGAGAACTGTAGTAATCACAGGTAAGATAGCTGTAGTAATCACACCTAAGATAACTGTAGTAATCACAGGTAAGATAGCTGTAGTAATCACAGGTAAGAGAACTGTAGTAATCACAGGTAAGATAGCTGTAGTAATCACAGGTAAGATAACTGTAGGAATCAAAGGTAAGAGAACTGTAGTAATCACAGGTAAGATAACTGTAGGAATCACAGGTAAGATAACTGTAGTAACCAATGGTAAGATAACTGTAGTAATCACAGGTAAGATAACTAGTAATCACAGGTAAGATAACTAGTAATCACAGGTAAGATAACTAGTAATCACAGGTAAGATAGCTGTAGTAATCACAGGTAAGATAACTGTAGGAATCAAAGGTAAGATAGATGTAGTAATCACAGGTAAGATAACTGTAGGAATCACAGGTAAGATAACTGTAGGAATCAAAGGTAAGATAGAGGTAGTAATCACATGTAAGATAACTGTAGGAATCAAAGGTCAGATAGCTGTAGTAATCACAGGTTAGATAACTGTAGGAATCACAGGTAAGATAACTGTAGTAATCACAGGTAAGATAATTAGTAATCACAGGTAAGATAGCTGTAGTAATCACAGGTAAGATAACTGTAGTAATCACAGGTAAGATAGCTGTAGTAACCAAAGGTAAGATAGCTGTAGTAATCACAGGTAAGATAACTGTAGTAATCATGGGTAAGATAACTGTAGTAATCACAGGTAAGATAACTGTAGTAATCACAGGTAAGATAATTGTAGTTATCACAGGTAAGATAACTGTAGTAATCACAGGTAACATAGCTGTAGTAATCACAGGTAACATAACTGTAGTAATTTCCAGTAACTGTATTTATTGTAATGGTATGTTAACAGCAGTAATTACTTGTATGCTTACTCTCGTCTTTAATTACCATGTTTACCAATACCAATGTCCTTGCTTCTGACAAAGCTGACTGCCACACTGCAGAGTTTAATCAATAGCACTTGACTGAACAATTTGTATAAATCCCTTGGGACATGTAAGTTTTTTATGCACCTAATTTTACTTGTAGTAACGACGGGGCCACCACCAGTGATGGTAGCAACAGCTGACACAGCAATAATCACTAACTGAAGTGTTGCCAGACTCCACACAAGTTTCAACTTTTACACCCAATAACCATGTTTGAAATAAGTAGGGTCCCCCGGGGTCTTCTCCTAGAGTCTCTAAGGACCCGATACATTCTTAACTGTTAACACTGGGGTTATGTCAAGGCCCCCTTGATTTTCATGCTTAACTCTGAACAATGAAAAAAATATTTAATTTTTTTTCAAAAAGTAACATTCAAATATCTTTTCCCCATGTTGGGTCCAATCTAATGGGCATTATTAAGCAGTCAGAAGAACGAGGAGTTTACAAACCAGTAATTCTGTTAAAAATTCTGTTTCACGTTTCTTCTAATTTGCATTTCCTCAAGTGGGTCAAATAAGCTCACAGCGTGATATACTGATCAGTAAACAAGATCTGTACTAAACATGCTAGAGGTATGCACTGGAAATTACACGCAGATTGTTACACTGTTTGACTATCAATTTTTTCAGATTTGTACGCAAGCAACTCAAAGTTATTGGAGAACAGTGATTTATTGTGCATTTTATACAACAATGCAGCTTATCTGCAGATCGGTACATAATGGTCAGGACGACATCAATTACCACCAAACTAGCTGTCTACTCAGTGAAGTGTGGCCAGTTATTTCCTTGCTAACAAGTGCACAACTGCCTGGGCTGTGAGATACGCAAACAAATCAATGCTAATTATTCCCCGATTGATTGCATGTCGTGCATGGATGCACATGTTGGAAATCGATTTTAATCATACGCTTTATCACTGTTTGTTTTTTGAGTGCTTGTGATCCATAGCACATTAAGAACATGTTTCTGGGTTGTTTCTGCACTTGAGTTCAACATGCTTGGCTGTGTTTCAGTTGTATACTGAACAACAAACAGATAGGATTATCAGGGCTTGATTAAAGGAACTTGCACCAGTCACATGTTGACATGAAAACCAAGTTGCACCAGACTAAACCAGGCTGCACCAGACTAAACCAGGTTGCACCAGATTAAACCAGGTTGCACCAGACTAAACTAGGCTGCACCCTGGTCCCATAAACTTAACAAAGTTGAAACGTAGATGCATAAACTTGTTTAGATACATACAATCTCAGATCTCTGACGACTCATGATTTTCCATAAATTGTCAAATGTATTGCTGTAAAACGTAATTGGAGTGAGTGAGTATGGTTTGTCGCCACTTTTAACAATATTAAAAGATGCACTTTGTGAAGTAAGACCCGTTTTATTACAAATTAGATCTTGATTATCAATTACATCGTCTTGGCTGAGCACCACCATTTTGTTTGCAGCAAATGCATGTGATATGAGAGGTGGAATCTGATTGTTCAATAGGAGGGACATAGAAAGGTTGGTTGTTGGTTGGTTGTTTAATGCTGCACTCAGCTATATTCCAGCTACATGACAGCGGTCTGTAAATAATCGAGTCAGCGAGCCTTAACCATGTTAACATCCAATCCCGTTAGTCGCCTCTTACGACAAGCATAGTCAACTTTTACGGCAAGCATGGCTTGCTGAAGACCTATTCTATCCCAGATCTTCACGGGTCTTACATAGAAGGGACATAACTCTTATAGCCACAGGTGGTGGTACGATCAAGCCCAGAAATTTCAGCCTGGTTCAGCAAGTGTGGAAACTGGACCTTTACAGTCAGTTAACTCCCTTGCCTCAGGAAGATGAAACTGTTCAGTGATACACAAATCACCTATACAAAGCCATAAGATTAGTTATCACTATATGAGCTGAATTGGGAAATTTCTAATTCTAATTTGGGAGTATTTATTGCCAATTTCTGCAGATTAGGTGGCAAATAGCAGCCTCTGAGCAAGTCTAGATAATCCCTGCAATGGCAGTCTAAGACAGGGGATCTCTCTCCAATACTGCCCAACCAAACTTCAACAGCTTAATGTTTGAGATGCCTTTACTTGTTTGTCATTGTACGATGTAAACTCAGCTGCAGTGAATAATGAACAAACGGATTACCGCATATGACGTAATAAGCGCCCCGCTCTAATAAGCGCCCAGGGCGATATTTGCTAATATATTGGCTGGTGAACAATCCCAATTAGCACCCCTACCGACTGATCAATGTACATAAGACTTATTTATTTGTGAATAATACGCACTCGTGTGTTATATTGCTACCAGACTGCCCCAAAACGTAATTGGAAAATTTTCACATAATCTTGACCATGTTGACATACCCCAAGTTTGATGACATCAAGCCCAAGAAAGCATGACACGTTACACAACACAAGGATCAGTGATGTATTTTGGTAAATTAAGTTTTGAGGTATTGAGTGTGTTCAAAGATCATTGTTGTGTGGAAATATAAAGGTAAGCCATGTTAGTCATACACAAATTTGAATCTTTTTTTACATGCACGAAGGGCATGTAGGCATAAATATTATGTCGAACTATTCAATAATATGTTGCGATGGTGCGAGTTTTACATTGCTAAACTTAGCCATGATGAAGAATAAATACACTACAAAAACATATGCCCAAAAATATTCATGATCCCTAACTTATTTTGTTCAGTATATCATGGCATGTTTGATTAGTGTGGGAGGAAGGCACAAGGCGACCAACCAAGGGTGAATATCAGATGCAAAGCAGCTCCTGGTACGACTACGGGACACGACTCTGCCCAGACAATCGTGAGTGAGTGAGTCAAGTGAGTCAGTGAATATGGTCTTACACCACTTTTAGCAATATTCCGTCAATATCACAGCAGGAAACACCAGAAATGGGCTTCACACATTGTACCGATGTAGGGAATCAAGTGAGTGAGTGAGTGGGTATGGTTTTACGCCGCTTTTAGCAATATTCCAGCAATATCATGGCGGGAGACACCAGAAATGGGCTTCACACATTGTACACATGTCAGGCATCAAACCCGGTCTTTGGTGTGACGAGGGAACGCTTAAACCACTAGGCTACCCGACCAGTAATGCTTTCACAATCAATAATCTTGCCAAGTTTACATTCTTTGCTCTTAAAATGAGGAGCAAGCAGTTGTCCATTATATAAACTATTAATTCTACCACCATATGTATATGGTCTCAGATACCCTTGTACTGATTAGTATTGATATTACTACATGCACTTGTGGCGCAACATGTTTGAATGCTTGAATATATATTGTAAAATGGGCCTGTGGCCTGATTTACTGAAATAAACCACCACTACTCACTAGGCTACCCGACCGCCCCTGTAGGGAATCGAACCTGGGTCTTCTGTGTGACGACCGAATGCTTTAACTACTACCTGGTAGGCTACC